CCTTTAGTGTTTTCATTAGTGCTTTAGCCAGTCTAATTTTAAATGACCCACTTTCCTTGGGAAGAGGATTCCACATGCTAATAAACCTCACAATTAAACAATGTCCCTGAAGTTGGTCTGACTTTCCCTTTACTTGGCCCCCCATCACCGCTAGTTATACCCACTGGGGTGCTTCAGTAACTCCTCTCCCTCTGTGGTGCCTGCACATAGGGGTTTATCATATTTCTCCTCTCCTCTCTAATCTTCATTTAGCCCAGCCAAACACATTTCATCCCTTTAATCTTTCCTAATAAATCAATCTCTCCAGCCCCCTCATACCATTTGTTGCTCCTCTCCAGACTTCTGCCACTTTGCCAGTAACTTTCTGGTGTTTAGAAACCCAGGATATTTGTATTTGGACCACGTCTCACAAAGGCGGCCACACCTCATTATCCCCATTTCACTGATGGGACAGAGGGTGAGTGACTCCCCCAAGATCGCTCCGCAGGTCAGGAGTAAAACCCAGGCCTCCTGATTCCTGGTTCAGTGCCTTGTCCATTGGCCTGCTGAGGACCGTACCCAGAATAGCTTTTGATTTCCCTGCTCTTAGATGACACCTCTACATGTGCAAGCCGAATGAGAATTGGGATTTTAGCATAAACTAGCACAGCCATACTGCACTCCAAGCGTTCATCCAATTTGCTGTCCATTATTAGCCCGACGTCTTTTCCCACATTATTGCTTCCCAGCTACCTGCCTCCCATGGAATATCTGTGTTCTGGGTTATTCCTCCCCGAATGTATGAGCTGCAACTGCCCAGGTTGAATCTCATTGTCTTTTCTGCCCACGTTTCTACTCTCTCTTGGTCCCTGGGGGTTATTTCTCTGCTCTTCCTGGTATTTGTGGTGCTTCCCTATTTAGTGTCATCTGCACAGCTAATTAAATGTGCTGTTTACCTAAAAGGCTGATCCCTGCTGCATCCAACTTCTCTGCCCCCTTTGCCCTCCAGCCTCAGTACATTGCTGTAAGAACCTGCAGGACCAGAACCTGAGACTATGGGGGTGCCAGGCGATGACACTTCTACATCGGGTTTCCACTGGGGAACCCTGTGGAGCTAGACACTGCAGGAAGTACCGCCCGGCAAGGCCTGAGTGGTGCCCCCCACAGCCCACTGATTGGCCCATGCTGGTGTATAAACCAGGAAGTCATCACAGGGAGCTGTCTGAGCAGTGGTGCATAGTGGCTGCTTGCTTCTGCTCCGGACATTGGCTTGTTCCGAACCCCAGACTCTGGCTCCTGACCCTAGCTCAACCTTGCCTCCGCTGCTTGCCTCCTGTCTGCAGCTTGGTTCTTGATCCTGACTTCCTGGAATCCTGACCCCCCCCAACTCCTCTACTTCTGTCCTGACCGTAACTGACCTGTGCACACAGGCTGCCCGTGGCCCGGCCTGACATTACCCCGCATCGCATCGCAATCCACATGACAGTGCACCATTTCCAAGACAATTAAAATGAACTGTTTCAAGTAAAGTTTTCTGAGACTGTGACCAATGTTTTATACATGCTCTCGAGGTACTACAGTACTGCGGGCCACAAGGGCCTTAACCAGCGTGGAAGGAATTCAAGAGCAGGCCTTAAATATGCAATGGCAGTTAAGCTTGTCTGGAATTACTTGTCCTTCTTAAATCCAAGCTGCTCATTACTTCTGGTGCTGTCATCTTCTAGGTGCTTGGTATTTGTTCCATTGCTTTACTAAAGACTGTAGGTAGAGTTATTAGCCATTGCCAGGAGCACCCCCTTCCCCTCCTGCTCTTACCCCTTTGAAAAGGACATTTACCACATTTGCTTTCTTCTGCCTACTAGTACTTGCCTGGTTTTCCATGACTTAATCAATAATAGCCAGTGTTGGAGGAAGTTTATAACAATTTAACACTTTTCCTCTGTAAAAGCTTGAGAGTAGGCTTGGATGGATTAGATTTTTATTGGTAAATGTCAGTAAACATCGATTTCACCGTACACATATACCAATAGACAAAACAAGTTTCCATCTATGATGATCAAGATTTACCAGGTAGGCAAAGTAAGACGAATGCTGCTGAAGAATTTGGAGTTTGATTTAAGAATATTTCCTTTGTATATTTTGACATTTTGTGTTTTAATGGTTATAAAGTTTGAACTTTTTGAGTCACATTTACTGTCATTAAATAATTGTCTAACCCCCCCATAATTTTCTGAAACTATGAATATTCACATAGATTAAATAAAAGTACTATAATTTTTGTTTTGTCCATTTTGTCACAGCCACCATCTTAGAGAGTGATCTCATGGGTTCCTGTGTGATACTTTAAGATTATTTTTTGGGGGGTGGGGGAATTGCTTATTACTTATATAACATCTATATTGTGGTAGGGCCTACAGTCTCCAATCTCATAGTGCCAGGCCCTGTAAGAACATAGAAAACAGACCTTTCTCCCGAGCTGACATTTCTTCTACTTGTGCAGCGAGGAATGAAGCAGGTACATGGAATGGATAGTTCACTATCTGTAACAACGGTGGATGTGAGGCAGCATCTGCTAAACCTTTACGTTTTCATATCAACAGCTGAGATAACTTATCCCCAAGAGTCTTAAGAGAGCTAGCTGAGGAGTTATCTGAACCACTAATGTTAATTCGTAAATTAGCTGGGGCAATTCCTAGGGGTTGCAGGACAACTAATGTAATGCCAATAATTGAAAAGGATAAAAGGGATGATCTTAGGGTAATTAATGGGTTAGCCTGATGTCGAGCCTAAGTAAAATTAGAGAACCGTTAATTCAAGACTCTACTAATAAAGAATTAGAGGCTAAAAATACAATTAATACCAGAAAGCGTGGTTTTGTGGATGGTAGTTCTTGTCAGACAAGCCTGCTGTCTTTTTTTTGACAAGTTTACAGGTCTGGTTGATAAATGCAGCTCCATTGATACAGTATACTTAGATTTCTTTAAGGCATTGGACTTAGTACAACATAACATCTTGATTAAAAAAAACTTGCATCATACGGATTTAACAGGGCACAAGTTAGATGGATTAAAAACTGGCTCACTGACAGACCTCAAAATGTGGTTGTTAATGAGGAGATATCAATGAGTGGGGCCATTACTTACGGGGGCCCCCCAGAGATGGGTTCTGAGTCCAACTCTATTTAAAACATTTATCAATGATCTAGAAGAGGATATAAAATCTCTTCTGGTAAAGTTTGCAGACAACACAAAGATTAGTGTGGTAGTAGATAATGAAAGTAGAGTGATTTGATTTGCCTGGGTAAATGATCACAATCCAACAAAATGCACCTGAATACAGCCAGTGCAAGGTACTATGTCTGAGAACCAAGAAGGCAGGATATATCGACAGGGTGTGTCTTGGAAAGTGGTGACCAGAGAAGCATTTAGTGGTCGTCATAGGTAATCACCTCAATATGCAAAAAGAAAAGGAGTACTTGTGGCACCTTAGAGACTAACCAATTTATTTGAGCATGAGCTTTCGTGAGCTACAGCTCACTTCATCGGTGAAGCGATGAAGTGAGCTGTAGCTCACGAAAGCTCATGCTCACATAAATTGGTTAGTCTCTAAGGTGCCACAAGTCCTCCTTTTCTTTTTGCGAATACAGACTAACACGGCTGTTACTCTGACACCTCAATATGTGCTCTCAGTGCGACGCTGTGGCGAAAAGGGCTAATGTGATCCTTGGATGTATAAAAAGAGGAATAGCCAGTAGACGAAGGGAGGTGAACTTGCCTCTGTACACAATGCTGGTAAGACTGCTACTAGAACACTGTGCCCAGTTCCGGTGTCCACACCTTAGAAGGGATGTGGAAATCCTGGAGATAGTTCAAAGGAGGGGCACAAAAATGATCCCGGGTCTGGAAAACAAGCCTTGTGGTGTGAGGCTTATGGAGCTCAGTTTGTTCCGTTTGTTGAAGAGAAGGATGAGAGGTGATGTTATCACTTTGCCCTGAAACGTGGAAAAGAGATCTGAGTTGGGTGGGCAGGGGAGGATCTTTTCTACCCTGCTGACAAGGCAGAACAAAAATCAGTGGCCGGAAGTTGAAGTTAGACAAACTCAACCTTAAAATGATGCCTTTTCCTAGCTGTGAGGGTAACAAAATATTAGACCATCTTCCCAGAGGAGCTGGCAGCCTCACCACCACGTGGGGCCTTTGAGATTAGCTGTCTTTCCCGAGGCTATGCTTTAATCCAGCTTCTGGGGAACATTCTGCAGCTTCTGGGGAACATTCTACAGGAGAAAGAAAAGGATTACTTGTGGCACCTTAGAAACTAACCAATTTATTTGAGCATAAGCTTTCGTGAGCTACAGCTCACTTCATCGGATGCATACTGTGGAAAGTGTAGAAGATCTTTTTATACACACAAAGCATGAAAAAATACCTCCCCGCACCCCATTCTCCTGCTGGTAATAGCTTATCTAAAGTGATCACTCTCCTTACAATGTGTATGATAATCAAGTTCGGCCATTTCCAGCACAAATCCAGGTTTTCTCTCTCCCCCCTTCCCCCACACAAACCCACTCTCCTGTTGGTAATAGCTTATCTAAAGTGACCACTCTCCTTACACTCTTATCTAAAGTGACCACTCTCCTTACTATTTTTTCATGCTTTGTGTGTATAAAAAGATCTTCTACACTTTCCACAGTATGCATCCGATGAAGTGAGCTGTAGCTCACGAAAGCTTATGCTCAAATAAATTGATTAGTCTCTAAATTGCCACAAGTCCTCCTGTTCTTTTTGCGAATACAGACTAACACGGCTGTTACTCTGAAACCTAATTCTACAGGAGCTCAGTCTAGATGATCACAGTGGTCCCTCTGGCCTTGAATCTATGGGATCGAAGTGTAAATAACTTACAGGCACATAAATTACCAGAGTTATAAAAGCAAAGCTTCAGGAGTTAGATTTATAACCCAAACTCCCAATGTTCTGCAGCTGCCAGAGAAGCATTAATGGTGTCTGTTTCTCCCTTCACAGAGCTTCCCCTGACCCTGTCACCCTCAATGGAAGCACAGGTATGTCGTGAATGTGATTTTTCAGAAAACTGTTCAAGCAAATCTCATTTCGTGTATGTGTGTGTGTGCGTGTGTCTGTGTGGATGTGGATGTGAACAGACAGTTTCTTTTTAAACCCAAACAGAGCTCTGACGACAGCATTAGCATTGGGGGCAGGGCTAGAGATGCTCAGACACTTTCTAGACCTGCTGCTTCCTGCTGTGTCCTGGCCTTTGCCCTGCTGGATCCTGCAGTCAGCATGAATGGTGGGGGCTGAGGGAGGAGGAAGCATTGTTCCCTGTGATTATTGTACACAGGAAAATTCCATTCAAAAAAGCATGATGTGGCCATTTGGGGAACTCCTTTGTCATGGTTGCAGGGCTAGCTGGACCTCTCGCCCCATTCTGGTCTCACTGACTCCCGCTCAGGTGCCAGGTCTCCTGCCTTTCTCTCTCCTGGGGTGAAGTAACGTGATTCTCTCACCGTTAGACCAGGCCCTGGGCTACATCAACCAGCGTATGGGTGATCTGACTGAGTTCAGCACTTGTGGCTCTTCCCAGTGAGAGTCTGAGATCAATGGGGATTCTAGACTGACCAGCCAGCCAGCTTGTTTAATATATTAACAGTAGGGAGAAATCATAAGATAAGAGAAAAGGGGGTTTAAAACAGCAAACAGTCTGCACACATGTCTGTCTTACTTAGAGGCTTACCATTCCCTGATGGAAGCCTAGGAAAGCCTAACATCTTCAGACACCCCAGCACGGTCTGAGTGTCAGTCTGAACACCTTCTCAGCAACAACTGCCCGACCTCTGGACAGACTGCCTTTTTAATGCTTCAGTCCTTTTGATCTTCTGGCCCCAGTACTGGGAGAGCAAGCTTTGTAATGGGGCTTATTGCTCAGGCATTATCTCTTAACCACCCTGGGAGTTGGCGTATCTTGAACTATTTGTTCCACTTCCTGCTTGTTTTTCCAGCAGCCTGCTGCTAATGTAAACCAACACATTAATAAGTGAGCACACCAATACCCCGTCACACACACAATTCATCAATTGTCACAGAGCAGCCCTGGGTCTGTCACACTCTTCTCAGGAGAAAGATTCAAGGACTGAACTAAGAATATAGGTGGGTCACTGATTGATTCTCCTGCTGTGTAACCATGTGCCCTGACAGAGAGAGGTGAAGAGCCAGAGGCTGCTGTAAATATGGCCATTAAAGTTCTGAGTGGGTGCATAGGTCATGACCTGCCCCGACACACAGAGCCAGAGTAGCCGGGAGGCCTTCCAGGGCATTCTGTCTCTCCCCAGTTGCAGTGACTAGCCTCAAAGCATAAAAATAATGGAACAGGTGCAGTGCATCTTCTGGCGTTATAGGGGACAGTTCCTTTCTGCTGCCGTCTGGCGTGGTGTCAGCAGGCTGGGCAATCGCTGTTCTCAAACCATAGGACCTGGTGTTTTGCTCCCTTTCCCTGCTCCATCCCCACATGTAACCAGTGCATATGAAAGGGCAGCAGCTCCATGCGCTGGCTTGGTTCCAGGCCACGGCTGCCGAGCCAACGCCCCGCTGCATCCCAGGGTGCTGCTTTGATTACCCTGGCAGCTGGGTGGCTCTTGTTTGATCAGCCCTTTCAGACTGGTTTTGAAATTGGGGACACATTTTTTTGCCAGCTGCCACTGGCTGCGGTTTCATATTTTACCAGCCAATCAGACTGCAGCATGACTGCCTGTGATCAGAAAAGGAGTACTTGTGGCACCTTAGAGACTAACCAATTTATTTGAGCATAAACTTTCGTGAGCCACAGCAATTGTGATCAGTGCAATTGGCCAAAGAAAGCTCCAGCCAGTTAGAAACGCAGGAGAGCAATCAGGGTGCTTCTACTATGTTATTAACCAATTGTAGAAACGCAGCAGAGCATTTGAAACGGGTTAATTGTCTTATGAACCGCAGTAATATCTCCGTGCTCACCCCTCACCTCTCGATTCCCCACCCACGTACCTACTTCATCTATCTAGGAAGAGCTGCCTGACAGCCTGACTTGAGCAACTGCTCTCCCTGCTCCAGACCCCTGCAGGTCTCAGTTTCTAGGGGCTGTATCCTCATGGGGGATCCCCACCCCAGGGCCTCTCGGTGCCAATTCCATTTGAAGCGACTGGAGCATGGCTGGTCCTGGAGCCTTCCTTCACAGTAACTGCCCACTCCAGGCCTGGTTCCCCAGCCTTGCGCTGACTTAGTAAATGGTGGTAGCAGCAGCTGCAGGCCCATACCCCTCAGTCTGAGCATCGCTGCCCTAGGCTTGCCAAACTCCTTAATGTGCCTCCTGCAGCTCTTTGTAGCACAGGATATTTGGGTGACTGAATTATTAACCCATCTAAATTATTAACCAACCAGGAGGCTTTGACTATGTTATTAACCAATTGTAATTGATAAAATAATAATACTCGATCAGTCATTTTGCTGTGAGAAAAACATCTGTCTGTATGTACAAATATATATATATATAAAAATAGTGAATGAATTCACAGGACTGTGGATCTTTTGGGTAATGTTGCTCGCTAATTTGACTCCTGAACCCTGTCACTGTCCTAGGTTTAATGGAGCCGTTGGAGTCATTCTGCTGACTTTGGCGGGCTTTGGATCAATCCCTGGTCTGCCTTAGCAGCAGGGTGCAGGCAGAGATAAGCTATCAGCGCAGTGGCCTTTCGTAGACTGCCGTAGGCTGTGTGCACCCGGGTCAGGAATGTATCCCGGTCCAAAGTTCAGCCCGTTTCCACTCCCCCTGCCTGAGCCACTTTCTCTCCCCTCCCCCAACAGCAAGTGCCTCCTCCCGCAGGGCCTGGGGTAGCTAACAGTGCAGGGCCTGTTGGTCCCAGCAGGACTGTCCCAGAAGTCTGCTGCTGCTTTCCCTCAATGCCCTGGGCTGGCTCATGCTTCCCTCCACTCCCGTGATAATGGAGTCCCAGTAAACAGCAAAGGCCTGGAAGATTCCTGGGGGCAGGAGAGGCAGCCAGCTTCATGGCTCAAACAGCAACATAAGCCTCTCACAGCCAGCTCGTAAGGTCATGGCAGGCTGTGGCTGGCGGCTGAGGGGTGGAGTATCTGTCACCATGTATCCTACAGCTCCCTCCCCACCCACCTGCCAGCCCGGGGAGCACCAGGGGACCCTTTTCTCTCACGCTGCTCCGGGCAGCTTTGCATCTGCAGGCTTCATGGGAAAGCGGATGGGCTGTATCTAATACAGACGCAGGGTTGAGGAGGCTGGGGCTGGAACATGGAGCTGTCACTTCCCGGTCACCAGCTGGCCCCATCCCTGCTTGTTACTAATCATATCACTGAGCCTCTCTGGGGGGATAGGGCGGGGCAGGGTCTCACTGGGTGTGGCCAAACTCCCCCAGACTAAGCACTACCCTTAGCGGGAGCCAAGTTTGGGAATACACAGCAGGCTCCTAGGGGGTGCTACGCAGTGATGGACATCCTTCAAATGGCAGCAGCAGGTGAAACGCACGGGCGGAGGGAAGGAAGGCATGATGCGATACCTGGCCCATTCCAGTGCTTGGCCACAGAGCTTTGTGATGCCTCCTCCCACGTCATGCCCCCCTGCTCTCCTTGGGCCTTTCTCAAGAGCCCTCGGCCGGCGTCCTAGCGCTGAAATCAATGGTTCTAGCTCTTCCTTGCCCTCCAGGTGGGCAGCATAGCGCCTGCTGGCTGCCCAAGATGCAATCGGCAAACGGGAAAGGCTGTGCGCCCGGCATTTAAACCGCACCTTGTGCCCTTCCGGCTGGCCGCCTCCCTGGGGCACACCCTGGCATCATTTGGGGGTAGAGATGGCAGAGCAGCTACACGGGCTGTCTCAGCCTCCTCCCCTCCTGAGGCTTCTCAGTGTAGCTCCCTTTCCCAGCCCCTGCCTCAGCCTGTGCTCTGCTCTCCCATGTCCTTGCAGATGGTGCAGTCGCTGGGATTTGCCATTTACCGGGCGCTGGACTGGGGGCTGGACGAGAGTGAGGAGCGAGAGCTGAGCCCCCAGCTGGAGAAGCTGATCGACCTCATGGCCAACAGCGACTCTGACGACAGCGGCTGCGGCATGGCGGACGAGGGCTACGGGGGGCAGGATGAAGAGGAGGAGGCTGTGGAGGGGCTCCCCCGAGCCGTGCGCACCTTCGGGCAGGCCATGAGGATGTGCGCCGCTCGCCTGACGGCCCCCCAGGAAGCACTGCAACATTACCAGGCTGTGTGCAGGGCCCTCTTTGTGGAGACGGTGGAGCTGAAGGCTTTTCTCACCAAGATCCGGGAAGCTAAGGAGGTGAGAGCCAGCCTTCCCCGCAGGAGCCTGGGGCGACCCGTCCTCCCCGAGAGCCACAGCGTGTGGCAGTGATGCATGGCTAGGTGCCCACACCCTGTGGTACTGCCATAGGGATCGGCTGGGAGGCTTCTTCACCACTTGCGTTGCCCTCTAAGCCACTGGTGCTGCACTCTGGCCCAGAGGGGGCAGCATCGGAGTGCTGGATGAAGTCGCCCCTGAAGAAATGCTGCTCTTCGTGTTGTGTTGCATTAAGGACCTGATTCCACACTGCTTTGCTGTAGCGTTATGAGTAGAGTCACCCCAGTGTAAAAGTGGAGTAACACAGAGCTACCCAGGACCCCCAGTGTGTAAAACGCTGCAGATCTCAGGGCCCTGGTAGCTGGGTATCTACTTCCTAAGGAAAATCCTTAGAAGTCTGCATGTCTAACTGTCGGGGGGGACCAGGGTCTGGGGCATCCCTAGGATTTCCTTCTGGCTTTTGTCCTCCGGGACAGCTGGTCAAAGCCAGCCATTTGATGCCAACAGACTGGCTTCTCCATCCCACAGTGGCTCTGGACTTTGCTATCAGACATTGCTCTCATCCAGGTCACGCTCTCCTCAGTGATTCTGGTGCAGGGGCCATACAGTAACTGGCCCACGGCCTAATGTTCTGCCTTTTCCAAGCCTTCTGTTGAAGGGGAGGGTGTACTGGGAGCAGGAATCGGTGATGCGAATACTCAGTATGGCTTAGTTCCTTCTCCCCGGCTCGCACAGCACTTTGCACAGGTTCATTGTGTGCCCTCACCCCATGTGACTCACAACATCAGAGGCTCAAGAGCAGGAGATGACATGTGAGATGCCAGGGCAGGGTTGGTCCCTACAGACTCTCCTCCAGGGCTTTGTTGAGCCCAGCATTGGGTGACTCCATTGACAGGGTCCCTTTGGGAGGCGACTCCCCAGGCTGATACATCTTGCCATGAGGGCGTGTCCCTGGATAGTCCCCAAAATCTCCCTTTGTCTTATTTCATCCCCTGGGTACTGATTTATACCCCCGTGCTGCCTGAGACAGTCCTTCTCCCTGGGAGGGAGGTGTTCTGAGCCCCATTTCACGATGATTGTCCCAGTCACACAGCAAGTCCGTGGCAGAGCCAGGATCCCAGTCCTCTGCTCCATGGTGTGCCAGGGCCCAGAGGAGGCTGCCCACCATGTGCATTTTGCCCTGGCGCTGCACCCAGGGCAGAGCCAGGATGAGATTGTATAAAAATGGGGCACCAGGAGAAATCACCAGGAGGTAAGCCCCTTGAAACCCTCGATAGCTAGGCCGAGAGGTGGCTCATTAGCTTTCTGTGAGAGGTTCCCCTATATCCTGGTGTGGGGAAAGCCACGAGCATCCCCGAGCCCTAACCCAGAGCTGCCATTCAACAGCTAATTTCAGCTCCTCTGTCTCTTTTTAAAAGACCGTGTCCCACCCCAGCCCTGACTGATAGTGTGCCCACGCAGCTCCCCCAGCCGGCAGCTTTCCAACCCAGGAACTGTGGACACGGCCCAGTGTGCTCAGGCAGGGAATTCCCAGCACAATACCTGCGGTCCCAGTGAGTATCTCAGGTGTGCCATCTGGTGGCCAGATACCACAGAACACTTACACTCTTCTATGGCCGGACTCTCCTGTTAGGTAATTAGAAAAGGAGGACTTGTGGCACCTTAGAGACTAACCAATTTATTTGAGCATAAGCTTTCGTGAGCTACAGCTCACTTCATCGGAGTGCTACTCTGAAACCTGTTAGGTAATTAGCACTGCTGAACAGTGCGCTTAATGCTGTACAAGACACACACCTGCCCCGGTCCCTGTCCCAGAGCTTACAGTCTTTATTGAGCAGCTAGTGCTTGCAATGAGCGGGATGGGGGAATAGCTCCTGGGTCCCCCTGAGTAGGAGAAGTAAAAGCAGTAATACAGGAACGGAACTGTGTGCATCAGAGCACCCTGCTGACTGCTCCATTGCTAAACGCAGAGGGGCCAGACCCTCGGTTCTCTGGCAAGGCCTGGACTAGCGGGAGGAATATCACTAGTTACGTGCAGGTCTGGGAGGGCAGGAGTCTGAATCTTTGACTCTTCCCGGTGTACCTAGCTGCTCTAGCCTAAGATAATGATGATGACTGGTATCGTAATAGTGCCCAGAGGCCCTGGTCAGGATCAGGGCCCCATTGTGATGTACACACACACAGTACGAGATTGTCCCTGTTCCACAGAACATAGCATCTCACCAAGCAGCAGAGCCAATGAGGGGAGAGAGGGCAGAGCAATTCGGTGGCAGCAGGACTCAGGTTGCAGAGCTGAGCTGTGTGCGTCAGTCACTGGCTTTGAGTCTGTTTGGTTTGCTTTTCTCTGCCTCTCCTCCCAGAGGTTGTAATGACCCCCTAGCGCAATCATTGTGTGTGATGCTGTGTGAGACGCAGCCCCTGCCCCCTAGGAGCTTACAGGCAAACAGACGTGGCAGGACGTGCAGGGGAGTCTCCAGGATGCTCCACGAGGCCCAGTATTTGCCTTTGCAGGGGAGTGAATCTGTTCTACAGCGTCACCATTCCCTATGTGATAGGTGGGGTGTTCAAGACCCCATTGGCATGGCAGGGGTTTGGTGTCTTGTGGCACCTGCTCTGGCACAAGTCAGACAAACCCGCAGTCCCAGCCTCAAGGGGGTTAAAGATAAAGCTGCAGTCTCCTAGGATTGCCTTGAGCTTCAACCTTATGGGTAATCACAAGGCAATAATCTGTTCCAGGAAGTGAGCTCGTAAATCCAACAGCAAAGGCATGTGGTCGGGAATTGTTGGGGTCAGCGGTGTTACCAAAGAGTCTGTTTACTTGCTCATTAAACTTATGAAACAGCTCAAGAACAATGTATCCACCTCCCCTTGCTCATCCATCCCGACACCCGTGTCTCCAGCAATGCCTGGGGCATGAGTTGTGCTGGGCTCCAGAAATGCCACATAGGGAGCCTGATGTCCTGCTGGGCATTGCGGTGCCTGGTGGAGGGGAGAATTTCTGAGATGCTGCGGGGGTGTGGGGGAAAGGCTGTGACCCCATTTATAGGGTGGGAGGAAGCAAGGACCCACTGACTGCAGTAAGCACTCATCTGATGTTGGGCATGTGGCGGAGAGGTTCAGCAGGCGCTCCGCCCACACAGCCTGAACACTGGAAGGGAAACCCTGTATATATTTAGGGTCACAAGGTGATGGCAGGACTATGCCCCATGTCCACATGCTGTGGATGCCCTTCCCACATGGGCATGAGTACCCATTTCCCAGGGCAGCCTGGGAATAAGACGTACCTTTTTTAAAGTGACAGTCATTAACCACTGGGACCATCTACCCAGGGCCATGGCGGAGTCTCCGTCACTGATAACTTTTACATCAAGACAGGGTTTTATTTTAGAAAAATCTGCTGTAGGACTTATTGTGGGGCAGTTCTCTGGCCTGTGCTATCCAGGAGTCAGACTGGATGAGCACAGTGGTCCCTTCTGGCCTTGGAATCTATGCAGACCTCTGACACTGCAGTCCACAGGCACGGGCAGCAAGGCATTAGAAGGTTCCCCCAAGTCCTTCGCAGCAGGCCCACACCTGCCCAGATGCACTATCCCTGCTCGTAATGACATCCAGGAGGCAGCTGCAAGCAGCCACCATGTTATTATCCAGCTCCACGCAACAGGCACGCAGGCCATGCAGAATGGGTCGGGCTGCGGGGAGGATTTAAGATTGCCAAAGATGATCTGATGCAGGCAGAACAGGCGAGGTGCCAAATACTGCCCCTAGAGCTGCCCTTCCCACTCTGATGACTTTCTGGCTCTCCCATATGGTTTGAACAGGCTGGCCCAGGTCCTTCCAGCTGAGGGAAATGCACCTTCCATTATTTCAGCCACGGGTTAGAAAGTCTGCAGCATATTCCCGGGGCAGTTGTCTGTGCACCAGCCAGAGTGCACGGCTGTCAGCAGCTCCCTGCTGTGGCCAGGTCAGATGCCGCACGGTGGAAGTGGACAATGCTTCAGCATCACATGAGATGAGCCCGGGAAACACAACCACAATTTTCCAGCAATGACAGGGTCTCAGGGTTTTCTCAGTGACGGCTAGCTCTGAGCTGCGGTGGGTTTATTAGCAATAAGTAATAGTTCTCATTCCTCTGCTGCCTGTCATTCCAAAGGTCCCCAGAGCGTGTTCCAAATTACACACAGCTCCAGTGAAATGCAGCCCCTCTGGGGGGAAGGCAGTAACCATCCATCCATCCCAACGCTGTAGGGAAGTGACAAAACCTCTTCTCCCAGGAAGTGCCATGGGACCTTTAATATCCAGACCGAACAGGCCAGGCCTCAGCTTGCCAAACAGTAAAACTGCATGGAAATCGAAGTGTCCAGAGCTTCTCCTGGGGCGCACGTTGCTGCTGGGGAAGACACAGGGGCTGTGCTTAGAGTCCATTCCAGGTGCTCCCAGAATCCAGGGGGGATGCGAAGCCAGCTCCCATCCTCCCCCAGAGGTGCTTCCACGTGGCTCAGTTGAGATGGAACAGTCCTAGGATGTATTTGGCAAGACCCATAAGCACAGATCATGAATATTCCCTTGGGCCCAGCATGCTCCTGGCTAAGAACCTCCCGGGACTCCAGTCAATGGCACCTGGATGGTCTTCCTGCCCAGATCTCTACCCTAAGCTGTGGTTAACAGGCCCCAGCTAGGGGAATGGGTGGCTGGGGTCAGACCCAATGCATGACCAGACTTGCTGCTGCTGCAGAGTAGCTCCTTGGGGCAGGGACCATCCCTTCTTTGTGACTTGTACCTGGCCAGGCACATTCAGTGCCCAGTAGCCTGCGGAAGCTGAGCCTTGTGGAGCTTTGATGGAAGTCCTCGACACCGCCCAAACCCCTAATGGGAGTGTAATTGTATCCAGGGGGAGGGACTGGCAGTCGGGGCAGATGGGGGCCGAGAATCTGGGCACTCCACTCTTTCCTCATGCCCAGGGGGTCTCTCTTTTTACGGGACCTGTTCAGCCAGGATTCTCCTAGGAGCAGGTTTGGCTGCTGAGGTGTTGGGGACCCAGCATGGGGAACGTGACATTTCTGTGCTGCTGCAGATGCTGAGGAAGCTGAAGGAACAGGAGGAAGAGCTGGAGGAGAGGTCAACGGATGAGCTCGATAACCTGCGGAACACAGATTGGGTAAGTGGTGCAGAGTCGTCTCCCTGCGGGCACTTTGATCAGCACCTCTTGCCTTGCAGGAGACAGAGGTAGTGACGGGCTGATGGAAACCTCCTGTCCGGGCGTTCTTGTTCTGGCAGCCTAATGAACAGAAGAAGCCCCTGGGGAGAAGGGCTGGGACCCGCGGGCCCAGAGGTGTGGGAACCTGCAAACACTGGTGGCTTAGACGTGTTGCAGGGGAGACCCAGTTGTTCCTGGGACAGCAGGCGCTAGGGGTGCTGCAGAGACTACGTGCTCAACCTTGCAGATTTATATCACCTCTGGCCAACAAAGGAGATGCTGATGGACCATTCCATCTAGTCTGCCATGACAGTGTGGGTGGGAGGTCATCACGAAAATGGGGGAGCCCCCCAAGTCCTGCTGGGGACCCCTTCAAGGACTGGATACAGATTCCTGAGAGAGGCAGAATGATTGCGGCCATTGCGGTCACTGGGAGGGGCGTAGAGAGTAGAGAGTGTAGGGAACCCGGAGGGGAGTGGGGGGCACTTGGACAGGTCGTAGCTAGAGAATGGGGCACTGACCCTGCCTCCCCAGCATCAGGGTCATGATCCAGAGCCTCCCCCCACTGCTCCCCAGGGAGCAGGAGAGCTGGGAAGGAAACGGACACTTTTGCAGTACAGACACTGCCCTCTCACCTCAGCCTGCCCAGCCAAGAAAGCCACAATAGCCAGGCCACTGGCTTTGGCATGGACCAGGACATGGGTGGTCAGGCCCAGTGGTCGGAGCAGCGGTGCTCAGAGCCAGCGTTAGGAATCAGGAGCCCAGTGAAGGGCTGAGGAACCAGGAGGAGGGCAGGAACAGGCTGGATCAAGGCAAACGCAGGAGAGATCGGAACTGTGGGCGAGTGCGTTGAGCAGCCATTGGCCAAGTACTGCTGCTGGGCTTAGGAGCAGCCCTGGCAATGTGCTCAGCCAGGCAGGCCGTCTGGCCAGTTTCGGCTGTGGTTGTCAGCTGATCCCAGGCCCAGCTGCAGGCCTTCGTTCCTGACAGGCTTCTGGGCATAGTCTCATGCTCTAGACTGGAAGCCGCTTGCCACCCCCATTGGAGTTAGAGATGGAAAGGGCAGTGTGAGGTGATCCCGTCCATCTCCCTGCCAGCGCAGGACGGTTCCCCACACCAGGGCTAAGCATGCTACCTCCCCCCGACCCTCCCAGCCAAGTCCCAGTGGCGGGGGGAGCACACATAGAGCCCCTGCTGGGCTCCGTTCACAGCGCTCATGTCCCATGGTTAGCCGGGGCTCCCTTCCCCCATGGGGAAGCCAGTGATGCCATGGGTCATCTCCTCGGTAAGGAGCAGTTGCCCATTGTATCTGTTCCAGGCCAGGCTGTGGGTGCAGCTGATGCGGGAGCTACGCGATGGTGTGAAGCTGAAGAAAGTCCAGGAGAAGCAGTACAACCCCCTTCCCACCGAGTACCAGCTGACGCCCTTTGAAATGCTGATGCAGGACATCCGGGCACGCAACTACAAGCTTCGCAAAGTCATGGTGAGCACAGCCATGCCCGAGGGGCCTGAGCCATGGCCACGGGGTGATTGCCATGGAGTGCAAGGGTCACCCGCTCCTAGTGACACACCATCTGCCTTTGGGCTCGCGACCCCGCACCCCACCCTCACATCCTGGCCCTGTTGATGCTGAAGGCCTAGCTCATTGTAGGGCTCATGCTGCTGCTGGGACACCCCGCACTGGACATTTCAGAGCCACCCCCAGGGTAATACATGCCCCTCCACTTAGACCAACTCACCCTAGTGCCTCCGCATATCAGAGAATCCTAGGACTAGATTGGATATGAATTAGCAGATTCTCACTCTAAGAGATGATACAAGCAGGTTGCAGATCCTTAAGGGGCAAGCTGCACTTGCTTTACAGCTTGGAATCCCCAGGTGTTTCATACACAGGCTAGAAATGCCTTTAGCCTGGGTCCAGCACTTCCCCCAGTTCAGTCTTTGTTCCTTAGGTGTTTCCAGGAGTCGTCTTGGATGGGGAGTGAAGAACCCCAGATGATGTCACTCCTTGCCTTATATAGCTTTTGCGTATGGCGGGAACCCTTTGATCCAAAGCTTGGTTCCTAAGCCAGTCTGTGGAAAAATACTGGCATCCCAAGATGGAGTCCAGCATCATGTGGCCTGGTCACATGTCTCTGTAGATTCACAGCAGCCATCACTCACAGGCTGTCTGTAGCATTCTCAGGAAGGCTCACCAGGCAGGAAATAAGCTTCTCCTAAGGCCTATTGTTCTCCCTAATGGCTCATTGCCCTGAATAGGTCCTTCCCAACCAGATATACATCTTGTCCTGTGGGCCTTACCCAGGTGTAACTATATTTGAAGTACAGATACATAGTTAGTTTTTATAACTTCAGATAAAAATGACACATGCATACAAATAGGATAATCATATTCAGCGAATCATAACTTTTCCAATGACACCTCACATGACTTATCTTGCATAAAATACATCATAATTATGCTATAATCATATCATAATATCGCTATGAAGAATATGGAGTGCAGTGTCACAAGATCATCTAGTCCAGTCCCCTGCACTGAGGCAGGACTAAGTATTATTTAGACCATCCCTGACAGGTGTCTGTCCAACCTGCTCTTAAAAATCTCTCACCATGGAGACCCCACAACCTCCCTAGGCAATTTATTCCAGTGCTTAACCACCCTGACAGTTAGGAAGTCTTTCCTAATGTCCAACCTAAACCACCCTTGCTGCAATTTAAGCCCATTGCATCTTGTCCTATACTCAGAGGCTAAGAAGAGCAATTTTTCTCCTTTTCCTTGTCACAACCTTTTCAGTACTTGAAAACTGTTATCATGTCCCCCCTCAGTCTTCTCTTTTCCAGACTAAACAAACCCAGTTTTTTCAATCTTCCCTCACAGGTCATGTTTTCTAGCCCTTAAATCATTTTTGTTGCTCTTCTCTGGACTTTCTCCCATTTGTCCACATCCTTCCTGAAATGCGACACCTAGAACTGGACGACACAATGCTTCAGCTGAGGCCTAATCAGTGCGGAGTAGAGCAGGGGAATTACTTCTCGTGTTTTGCTCACAATACTCCTGCTAATACAGCCCAGAACCATGTCTGCTTTTTTTGCAACAGTGTTACTCATATTTACCTTGTGTCCCCCTCTGACCTCCAGATCCCTTTCCCCAGTACTCCTTCCTAGGTAGTCATTTCCTATTTTGTAGAGTCATTATTTTTCCCTCCTCTATCTGCCCCTTCCTCTCCCCACCAGGTGGATGGTGACATCCCTCCCAGGGTGAAGAAAGATGCCCACGAACGCATTCTGGATTTTATACGGTCACGGCCGCCACTGAAACAGGTAACATCCATGTGACCTCTGTAGTGCCTGGGCTGTGGGTTTCTGACCGACCCGGTGCTCTGGGGCACGTGAGAACCCCCAGGAGGAAACGGGTTCTAAATCGCTGGCTCAGTGAAGGAGCCTCCCTTCTGAAGGAGGCTGTCACACTGTCTGGATTTTCTAGTGGCAGGAGCATTGCTCCAGTGTCCCCTTGTTACCCGGGGTTATCAGAACCCCAACAGGGGCAACTTAACTATTTCACTAGAGGCAGTGTAAGGAATAAATCAACGGGAACTCAGCAACTCTGTCTGATCAAGGAGAAATGCAAGTAAGCATGCTTTTGTCTAACACTGCAGTTTATTAGATTTAAGCACACACAGATATAAGCAATAGGTTTAGAACATCCCACATATTTACCTGTATTCTGAGACGGTATTGAGTAATCAATGAGAGGTCAGTGCCTGCCGGGGAGTAAAGATGTCAGGAAAACGTCTCTCTCTGGATTGCTCCTGAGGACTGCTCCCACTGCTCCTGTATTATCTGAATTTCTTATAACTAACTTCTACTAAACACATAGCAGAGGTCATTATAACCTAAGTCCTCACTTTTCCTAACTTTCAATAAACTTTTACTAGCAGAGGCGTCTAGACTCAAGGCTGTCCATCCACATATCTTTGTTTCAGTCTCTGTTATTTACTCTTTCTTCCCGTCCTCCCATACTGATTAGCAAAACTGCCAGTAGCTATGACCTTGCTTCTGAAAGCCTGTCTCCAAATTAGCCCTTAACTATTTGGTGTTCTGTTTCATTAATTCATGGTGGCTGAGTGCACATAGTATGGTTGCAGTTAGCTTGATCACATTCTGGCGTACATGCACCCCTCAAATCCAGGCAATGCCCTGGTCCCGTGCAGGGTCCCAGCCCTGGAGACTGCTCTCCTCTCCGCTTCATCCTGAGAGCCCCCTTCCAGGGGCACATTCTCCTTTTCCTGACACTTGCCTAGTAAGGAGGAGCAGGTGTGAGGGCCCTGCCTGCTGCCGGCTGGAGCTGTGGAGAGAGGTTCAGCTGGGACCCTGCTGGCATGAGCTAGTTGCGCCCTGGAGCCTCCTGCTAGAGTAACACTGGGCCCTCGCGGCTGGCTCCAGGGGCAGCAGCATGGGCTTTAGGACCGAGAATCCCAGTGCTCTCTGTGGGCCCCATTGTGATCTCTGTTCCTGGGGGCCAAGCATATTACATGGGGTGATAGCGCGGTCGTGGCTACTCCCCTGTCTGGAGAGACGGCAGGTCTCAGGCCAACAGTGCTCTGTCTCCACAGGCCACGCTGTCCTTGTAAAAACAGGAGTGGCAGCCATGTGACCTCTGTAAGGGAAGTGAGGGGCTGCCCTGGGGCTCCTGGCAAGTCGTCCTTGGTTGGGCAGCCTAGGTTCACCACTGCCCAGGGCAGCGTCTCTGTTCTAACCAGCCTGTCTCGTCTGCTCCTGCCCCTGCTGCAGGCATCCGAGAGGCGGCTGCGCCCCATACCCCAGAAGCAGAGGACGCTCCACGAGAAGATTCTGGAAGAAATCAAACAAGAGAGAAAACTTCGCCCAGTCGAGATGCGGCAGCAGGGTCAGAAAGGTACCACCCCAGCCCGCCCCAGCAGGGAGCACGTAGCCACACGGCTCCATCCAGAACCCCCGGCCTTGCCTCAGCGTGTGGGACTTGTGTGGGGCCCACAAACCCTGGCTCATCTGTGAGAGTCCTGAGGGGGGATGCGGGGCGCTCTGAAAGCTGCCCGCGAAGGGAAATCAGAGTGCTGTTGAAATGTGAACCGTTCCAGATGTTCTGTATAAAAACAAACACCAGGTTAACGGTGCCCAGCACTGGCTGCCAGCCGGGTTTGAACCCAGGACATTCACAGAGTTTTACGAGCCCCCAGCCCGCTCAGCTCCCCTCTCCCGCACGCAGCATGCCCAGCTCCTCCCTCCCACCTCCCCTGTGCAGCGTGCTCTGTGCTTCTCTGGGTCTGTGAGGAAATTCAGAGGCCACGACTGCTCCAATTTGAGGGGAAGGCCTGACTGGCAGCTCTACCCCAAAGGTAAATTCCTTCCCGCTGCCTGCTGAGATGTAGCAGTCTGGCATCGGGCTGGCCCTCTAGGCCCCATTTGCTTCATGAGTCCAGGTCTTGTGTGGGGCACGAGCACCCACCAGCTCTGGCCCCCAGTCCCATGGCAGGGATGAGAAGTTCCCTGCACTGTGCTCCGTCCATGCAGAGATGTTTCATAGCTACTTCCCTCCCATATGGGCTCAGGGGGCAGTTTGAAACTGCAGCCCCCACTAAGGTATCCCTAGGCCACAGGGAAGCCCTCCCCTCTAGGTGGATGCCATCCCCCCATCCTCTACCAGCCCTGCCCTGAGCACTTGTGTGAGTCTCTCCCCTCTCCTGCCTTGCAGGTTTTGGCTCCCTTCCCTGCATCCTTAACGCCTGCGCCAGCAACATGAAGTCAACCTCCTGCATCAACCTCTCTGTACCTGACTCAAGCACCCCCGCCCAGCGCCTGCGGCCAAGGGTTCTTCTCAAGGCTCCGACACTGGCCGAGATGGAGGAGATGAATATCTCTGAAGTAAGCGCTGGTTTTCTCTGTGGTCGCTGGTGGGAGGGTGCTCAGGACTGCTGGTATCGGTGTTATCTTCTGAGGCAATGAGGGGATGGCTGGCAGGGAGACACATCTCTTGACATCAGCACCGCAGCATGGCAGAGGGGCTCTGTATCTGAAAGCCATGTGCCCTGAGTCGCTTTGCGGGGCAGAGCTCACCTTCAAGCCTGCCACGTGACCCTTCTTGATGTCAATGGCACGGCCCTGCCCCCAGTACAGTCAGGAGTTCTTCTGTTGGCTTTGGTGGGAGCAAGAGAGGGCTCTACAAGACTGGCTGGGCCAGGCTCAGGAATTGTTTACTGTAAGGAGGTGGGCAGTCCCTGCCTGCCCCTGGCAGCCCAGAGGGCATGCCCTGCCTTATCTTCCCCTGAGTGGGGCAGCAATGGGTTCATGGGAGAGCCCGAGGCAAGGAGAAGCCCACACACACTAATAAATAGCATGTGGCCTTTTACTAGCACTTCAGGCTAAGAGGCCCTCACCACAGGGCCCTGGGTCATCTCCCAAACTTAAAGTTCACAGACACTCTCTGAGTAAGCTGGTTTCCCAGAGCCTGATGAAAAACTATCCCTCACTTCTACCTGCATGACTTCTGCTCAACTTCCTCTTCCTGTTTCTATAGCCCATCTCTAGGGTGGGGCAGGGCCTCCTTCACTTACCCCCCAGGCTGGCCCAGTTGTAGGCTTCAGCCTGTCCCTCAAAGGGGTAGTACTCCCTTCCCGAGGGCGATGCCTTTCACCTCCAGGTCACCAGTTCAAATTCAGCCCAGGACAATAGGGATTACAAGCTGTTGCTTTCTGCTGGTTGGGAACAGCCTGGGTATTGGTCTCTGGCCATCCCACAAAAACAACCAGCAGAGCTGGCCTCATTAGCAGTGTCCGCACAGAGGACCTCATGGTTGGCTGAACAGGACGGGGTGTGGGAGCTTGCGCTGAGGCTGCACGGCTGGAACACCAGTGCGTCTTGCCAGCACAAAATTCTTTATTCAAATAAATGAATCAACGGCACCAGGGTCCCAGCTGGGTGGGAGATCAGGCTCTCAGCCTCTCTGGGGCTTTTGTTGTGTTGCCTCCTTTGTTGGACTGACCAGCCAGTAAAGGGTTTGTGTTGGTGTTGTGGTGGCACAATAAGAATGGCAAAAAGTTCAAAATACAAATTAGGGAGATAAAAGAGAGATTTCTAAGTCAATAAAAGAAAAGACTATCAAAAGGGCTTAGGCAGGAATCATATGTCACAGCTAGTCAGGACCCTAGGCGTCAGCAGCGTGGGGTCTGGAAAGTCCTCCTGATAGGCCAGCGCAAGAGGAGCTGGCGTTCAGTAGGTGTGTGGTGTCCTCCACTGCATCACAGAGGGCTGTCTCTGAATCCCCAGGTGTGGCCATTTATCGCACCCCTCGCCACCCCCTTCTGAAAGAGTGGAGCTTGTCCCAGAGGCAGTGGGGCAGCCTGAAGCCAGGCACTGTCTCATCAGGCTGAGGAGGAAGGAGTTTCCTATAGAGTTTCTAGCTTGTTCCCATTCCTCCGTAGAAGTGATTAGTAACGTGGCCAGTTTGGTCTCTGCTGATGAGATGGGGGCGAGGCGCTTCCATGTGTCTTTGACAAGTGCAGTTGTGGCACCTCCTGGATTTTGTCTTTGCTGGTGTTGGGAGGTGGAATATGAGAGAGGTCTCATTGCTTGATTCAGTTGTATATCATGGGTGGAGAGTTTAACCACATTGAAACACAGAATTCTCCAGCTGAGCAGCAGAGAGCTAGCTCCAAGCTGAGCGGTGTTTGAGAATGCAAGTTGAGCATGCAAGCTTATGTAGAAGGACATTTCTGCTCTTAATCTTCTGATCTATCTTGGTGAGGTGATCCTTGTAGGTCGGTGTGCGGATTGTGCAAGGGTAGAAAGAACAGGAGGACTCGTGGCACCTTAGAGACTAACAAATTTATTTGAGCATAAGCTTTCGTGAGCTACAGCTCACTTCATCGGACGCATTCGATGCTACCTGAACGGAGTAGCTGTAGCTGACGAAAGCTCATGCTCAAATAAATTGGTTAGTCTCTAAGGTGCCACAAGTACTCCTTTTCTTTCTGCGAATACAGACTAACACGGCTGCTACTCTGAAACCTGTCATTATGCAAGCGTAGAGTTACTCCAAGATATACAGGCTTTGGATCATGTGTTAGTCATTCTCCATTCAAGAAAGTGTTGAGTTTCATGACATCTTGAGGTGATGGAAACAAAAGCATGATACCACACAGTATTTGACACACTGGGCTTAAGTCTCCACTTCTTGCAATAGCCACTGACAGCTGCCGTGCGTTAGTTCAGTCTTTTTGTAGTCTCTGTCTCTTGAAATTAGGCAGATGTCATCTGCATATTTGAATTACCTTGAAATTGTTGCAGGCAGATAGATAATCCACAAATATGATAAAAAAGATTGGTGCAAGAACAGATAGATCCCTGAGGGAGTCCATTCTTCTGGGTCCGGAATGTGCTCAGTTTATTGCCTAGTATCACTTGGAATTGTCTGTCCTGAAGCATAATTTCCATAGCCAGAACAACCCATTGAGGTAACATCTTGATCAGCAGGCCAGTGTGCCAGACGGTATCATATGTTGCTGTCAAGTTGAGAACCACTGCCCCTGTCTTCTCCTCCTGCTGGAAACCATCTCCTATAGAGGTGGTAAGAGCAAGAACTTGGTCACAAATGCTCCTACTGGTCTGAAGCCTGCCTGGTCATCACCCAGAGCCGCCTCTATTGTGAGCATGCTTCTCCCAGAATTAGTTACTGCAGAAGTCTGTAAACATGGCTCAGAAGCATGGACAGTAGCTAGCTGGAAGGGGTTTCCTGGCTTTGGTGTAGCTGTTACCCTAGCTTTCCACCATATCTTAGGCATCTTGTCCAGTTGGACGACACAGGATATGAAAGTGGACAACGATTTGATGCTCTTTTTAGCAAGGTGTAGGAGCATTTCTGCTGAGACCTTGTCAAGGCAACCTGCTTCCCTGTGGCTCCGTGCTCTCTCTGCTTCCCTGCTGTGGGTGTCCATGGCAGGAACAGAGCGGTGCTCCATTTTCTGAGCTCGCTTTACCTGGACAGGGTTATAAGGAAGCAGCCGATGGCGGGTGATGGGAAGGGGAAAGGACAGATGGTGATAAATGGGATCTGTGCAGCCATCTATCCAGTACCATTTTCCCAAGGGGTGGATCGCACCTCTCCATGCCCTCTCCATGGGCTCTCTGGGCACAGTAAGGTGTTGATGCTGCCTCACAGAGTGGGTGCAGAGGGCGCAAGCCAGGCTGAGTCAGGGACCTGGCAGTCCAGAAAGCTGCCCATTGGCAACTGCAGGACAGGGTCACTTTTACAGCACGTCCCCGGCCCAGGGCCTCGTGTTCATGTTGCTCTGTGTGCCTTCACAGGAGGAGGAGTCTCCAAGCGCTGAGATGGGGAGGGAGCCTGGCTTAGGGCTCCCCCTGAAGCGTGATCGCTCCTTCTCTGAACAGGACCTGGCCCAGTTCCAGAGTGAGAGGGGCACCAGCCAGCCTGATTCAGGGTATCTGGAACCACGGGAGTCTGAGCTAAGACCCCGCTCAGGTAGCATGAATACTGCACGGATCAGCACGGAAACCAAGGGCAAGTTCCTCCTACCTTCCCTTCCCTAGCTGATACAGCCTCCCTGTCTTCCCTCTCCTCCCACCAGCTGGAACTGCACCTGCCTAGAGCAACTGTCTCTGGAGGCACTGGGGATTGCACCTGCAAAGGGGACACAGGTGCAATCCCAGCTTGGGTCTCCATTCACACCTCCTCCACTAATGGAAGGTGTGCCCCCCATAGGAGACTTTGCAGTGGGGTGCCAGGCTCCATACAAAGTCCGGGTTTGGGGACCAGCCCTTGTTTGTATTAGCTTGCCAGAAGCTCCTTTGCATCTCAGCTGCACAGTGCAGAACCCTTCAGTGGTGCTGGAACACTCTTTATGGGGGGGAGCTGCACCTGCCCTTACCCCTGTCTGCACCCCTCACTGCCCCCTAGAGCTGGGGCTGGGAGTAGGGCCATGGCTCCAGGAGGGGGGGATGCAGCAAGGGGACCGAGGCTGGGGCCACAACTGGGGATGGACAGGGAGCCCCAGGTGCAAGGCCGGCAGCTGGGACCCTGGGCATGGAACTGGCAGCTGGGACCCCGGGCGCGGGGCCAGGAGTAGAGCCCCATGTAAATCCTGGGGATGCTGCAGCACCCCCCGCACCCTTAGTTTCCGCACCTATGGAACCCTTTGCTGGTTAGCAATGCCCAGAGTCAGCACAGCACTGCGCCCCTGCAGGGAACCCCAAAACCATTGTCAGGGTTCTCCCTGCCTCCCCTTCTCCCTAAGCTCTGCACCTCTAGAGGACGCCTCGTGGCCACACAGCCTTTGGCTCTGGCCCTGTTCTGTGTCACTCCCACATCCGGCTCTGTCCCAGCAAGAAGTGCAGTTGTTGGAGCCCATTCCCCATGCTGGCCACTGCCAGACCCTGTACAGCCTCCTTCCCCCGGGTCCCTCTTGGTTCTGGTCCCAGGCCAGAGGGTTCCCAGCGCTCCTTCTCAGCTGATGTTCAGGGAGGAGCAGAGCTAGCCGGACTGACTCTGACTGCCTGTGTTATTCTCGTCCAGGTTCGTTCCCAGACAGTTACCACCAGATCCCACCCAGCGCTGGTCCGCTCACGTCCGACCGCGGCTCCCTCGGGGCTTTGGCGGAAAGGTCAGAGGGCAGCTCCAGCTCCACCCCAGACAGCAGCTCCAAGCATCTGTGGCTGGTAAGTGTCCGATTTGCATACGTCCAAGCTGTTCAAGGCTGGAGCCCTGAGCCGTGCTGACCAAGTCCCCCAGGATGTCAGTGAGATGCCCGTTCACAGCCAGAAAACTGCCGACTCCTGATTTAATAACGTTCGCTCCCTGCGAGGGGGCAGCCAGGCCACACCTGAGTGGCCCCAGATTGCACCGGGCTGCCACGCCACTCACTCAGATTTGGAGGGGGTAGCCAGAGGGGCTCGTGGGCTAGGGGGCTCAAGCTGCTGCTGGTGGAGGGGCACCTGTGGGTGGAAGAGGGTGGTCAGGCTACTGGGGCCGGGGGCAGATCTCCCTGAAACGAATTGGATGGTGTCGGTCAGTTTGCCCTGAGCCCTGACCTGGTGCGGCTTAGTCTCCACTTGCAACATTTTTGAAGGACAGTGAAGCTAGGACGGGAACGGCAGGGAGCTGCGGGTCGGGATTGAGGGGCATCAGCAGAGCTGTGGGTGGGCCAAGCCAGGATTGGAGTAGTGGGGGCTGCAGTGTGAAATTGCAGGGCATCAGTGAGCTGGAGGGAGGGGAAGGCTAGGACAGAATTCACAGGGTGCTGTAGGTCAGGATAGAAATGCACCAACTGAGTTCTGGGGTGAGGGGCGGGGCTGGAGCTGGAGGAGTTGCTGCAGAACAGGACTAATCCCAGACTGCGGGACCTGATCCCCACAGTCATTGTAGGAGAGTAAAGGATGCAAATAAAGAGTGCCAAGTCTGATTTCTCTCCTGAATGAATATGGCTGCACATGGCTGGCCTGGCTGTACATCCCCCCAGCCAGACTCAGCCCTGCAGTGCTGTGGGGCCCTCATGCAGCCAGGTACAAATGCAGGGGAATCATGGGGGGCAGGGCCTGGGAGCTCGTCCATGCTGCTGTCCCTTCAGTCTCCCTTCCACACCTGTGTGAGCAGCTGCATCTCCCTCTTGCCATCTCCTAAGGGACCCTTAAAGGTGCTTGAGCCACGGACACAAGGTGGGTTAGTTCGCTCCCCGCCGAATGCTGTGCCTCCTCTCAGTCTGTGAATTAAAGGGGCTCAGCTCAGGCTGTGGCTGGACAGCGATCAGCCAGGCCTGGGGTGGGACTGCCCCTGCCCCGACTGCTTTGGTGCTTAGTGCCCTCCTGCTCTCTGCACACAGGAGTTCAGCCACCCCATAGACAGCCTGGCTCTGACCGTGGAGGAGATGATCGACGTGCGCAGAGTGCTGGTAAAGGCTGAGATGGAGAAATTCCTCCAGAGCAAGGAACTCTACAACAGCCTGAAGAAAGGGAAGGTGAGGGCTGGGCGATTGCCTTGGTCTAGGGCGTGAGTGTGTGAGGAAAGGGCCAGCAGACAGCCCCTGGGGTGTCGGGATCCTACCAAATACAGACCGTGACCTTTTACCTCGGCCCTTCTCCACCTACAGATATGCTGCTGCTGCAGAACAAAGTTCGCTTTGTTTTCTTGGCCCCCAGCCTGTCTCTTCTGCAAGAGGTGAGCAAAAGGTCCCCTGCTTTGGGGGGCAGATGCACAGGGGGCAGGGGAATGAGGTTCTTTACTGACCCTTGGGATTCTCTCTCTGCTTTTAGATCCGTCTGCGCCTCCTGCAGCCTGAAGGTAAGAGACACTTTCAAGAATCAGTCCCAAGAGAACCAACCGCATAGCTTGTGCCCATTGTCTGGGGCCTCCTGCCTCCTTACTCTGGGGGCACCCCCACCTTGTCTCACTTTCGGAACACCCCCCCCCCATCCCCCCACAAAGTAGCACGTCTGACAGCGATCTCAGAGTGCAGCGTGCCCGTGGGATGGTGAGGGGTTGGGCCCGGGAAGCCCCGCCGAGGGCATGTGAATGTACCCACTGTGCCAAGGAGGCGCCATGCTGAGCTGGCTGTGGGCTGGCAGCGGAAGGACAGACACTGTAGCATTTTGGGGGGCCTGCTTAGCTAACTCCTGGCCACCGTGGTCACCCCACCATATAGGACACTGGCCATAGCACAGTGGGAAGGGTCAGGGAGATGATTCTTTGTGGCCCCCCCATATTTAACCAGGGGTGCTGGACCTATGGGTGCTGCGGGGAGGGCTGCTGCACCCCCTGGCTTGAAGTGGTTTCCATCGTATACAGGATTTACTGTTGTTCAGTGGGTCTCAGCACCCCCAATGTACAAACTGTTACAGGCCCCTCCATTTAACTGACTCGTAAGTGGTGAGAGTAACTTTCAGGCCCCCACCTCTGCTGCAGGAAGTGGCCTGGTCAGAAATGACGCAGGCCCAAGGGGGACCCTCTGCGGGGGGGAGCTGGGGCCTGTCGGAAAGCATTTGCTTGGAGTGATGCTGTGAGCTCAGTATCGGGGAGCTGTGCTAGGCACATTGCGGTCCCTCCTTGGGCACAAGCTGACACAGAATGTGGCCCAATCCCTGCATAAATCACCCAGCATAGGTGAGCCATGGCCTCAGCCAGTAAATCCTCTGGGTGGGAACACAGGACTTCGGCTTCAAGCTGGCTCACTTTTGTGGTTGCCTCTGGCCTGGGGAACTTGCCCCCTTTCCCCATGTCACTTAGCCGTGTCAGGCTCAGGAAAGGAGATACATGTTGGTGCAGCTGTGCCAGACGGACAGTGGCCATGGCAGCAGCTCAGAAAGTGCCCAGGGGCCCATCTGACACTGACCTCTGCTGCTTCTCCTGTGTGCGTGTGCTGCAGATTAAGATGCCTTCGAAGAAGCTTGCTCACATTCCCGTCTATGCCCTGGGCTTCGAGAACCACCCCGGATCTCTGAATGCCAAAGCTGTGCCGCTGAGGAGGAGAGACGCCCTCTAGTAAGTTCCCCCCGGTGCTTCCTGCCGCCCCACCCCGGCTCTGCAGCGAGGTCCTCGTCCAGTACAGGGGGCGCATGGCCTCTCCAACACAACCTTCCCGCTGCTGGCACCCGGCCGGGATCTGGAGCCACTGGACAAGGGGCCATATGTCAGGAGAGAAAGAGGCAGGGTGACCTAGAGGCCTGAGGCTGCATTGGCTGAAGCCATGGGGGATGTGAGGAATGAGGGATCAGGCCCTGGGTAATGTAAGAGCCTGTGCTAGCAGCACCCACTGCTAAAGCCGTGGTGCAGCCCCCGCTGACTGGGGGTGAGGGGACGGACGGACTGGGATGAAGTGAACCGTCAGCCTTTCCCCTATGTAGCTGGGCTGATGGGCACCGCACACCGTAGAGAGCCAGGCATCCCTCTGCAGATCCCACAGACATCTGAAAATGGCCCTTTGGCAGAAGTGGTGTGTATTGGGCTGGGCCTTCTCCAGCAAAAGCCAGCTCTTTGTCTCCTGGCGGTTCCTGTGCAGAGCACTGGGTTGGTTGCAGAGCTCCGTGCACCCCGGGCAGGGCATGCAAACCAGAGTGGGGAGCACCATCGTCACTGAGGTTGCTAATAGCAGAAACATCCATCCTGTCTCCTCCCAACACAGCCACCCCCTGTGCTGGTGTCTTCTCTGCCATGCAGCTGTCCCCTACCATCTCCCTGACCCCTCCTTGGCCAGGCTCCCCTTCTGCCTTCCCTCACAGCCCCCGCACCCTCCTCGGCAACTTCGCCCCACACCAGCAAACCCCTGAGCACGCCGACTCTCACCTCCTAGTGTGCCCTTCCACCCTGGCTTGGCTGCTGCCTGCCCTGGGCTCACCAGGTGCTGTTCCCTCTGGTCTCTCAAGAGCTGAGCTCCCTCCTCACCCCCTGCAGTGTCACTCACTGCATCTCCAAACCACCTGTCCATGATCTCCAACCTGTCAAGGCCCACAACTGTTCAGGCTCCTCCCCCACAATGCAGACATGCTGTGGTCTCCTCCCTTGTCAAACCCACCCATCCCCTCCAGGCTCAGTGATCCTGCTGGCTACAGCCATTGCCTCGAATCTCTCCTCCAACTCCTTCCTGGAGGACCCTCCAGTCCAGCTGCAGCTTCTCCACTCCACCAAACCCGCTCCCACCGACATCTCCAGCCACCAACTCCTGGTTAAGTCCAAGGGCTGTGTTCCACCCCTCCTCAACCTCTAGGATGCTTTACACTCCTGTGTGCCGTGATGTGCTCCCTGAGCTTTCATGGCTCCGGGCCCTCCTGGTTCTCATCCTACCTCTCTGGCCGTTCCTGTGGGGTCTGATTTGATGGATCCATCTCCAACTTCCCTTGCATGTTACTCCTGGGGAAATTCTGCACCACTGCACATGTGCAGAATTTATATTCCCCGCAAATTTCTAAGCTTCCCCGCAGAAAAATGACTTTGCAACGGGGAAGCAAAGGGAAACCACAAGAGCGGTCATGCGACCCTCCCCAGCAGTATGTTTTGGGTGCCCAGGGCAGCCAGCAGAGAGGTAAATCACAGTGGTGTAGGAAGCGGGACTGGGGAAGACCCTGCTTCCTACCCTGCGCTGGGCTCAGCTGCTAGTCCTGGCTGGGCTGGGGAGGACGGGACTACTTCTTCCCCTGTACAGCGTCCAGGGCTGGTTCAGACCCACCCCCAGATTTCTTCCCCAGCTACAGGAAGCTCTGCAAACTCTTTCTTCCCTCCCCTGCTTCCTGCACCCATCGCTCCTCAGCTGCAGGGGGAGGAATCCCTGTACAGGGAGCTGTTCCCCCGTCTGCCCAACCCCCGTGCATCCACACTCCCTCATGCCCAGACCCTTCTGCTGATCCTCACTCCCACCCCCCTTCACTCAGAATCCCCCCAATGTGCCCCACTCTCCCTGCAGCTGGACCACCCCGCAGAGCCACCTACACCCCCGCCCCACCGAAACCCAGTCAGCTGCACCTTGATCTCAACCACACTGAGCCCCACTCCCCCAGCATCTGGACCCCACCCCCCGAGTCCCCTTCACCCAGACCCCTCCTGCTGAGCCCCAGCCACCTTCACCTGGACCCCCCTGCAGAGTCAAATTACCTTTGCACCCAGAACCCCTCAACAAGCCCCTGTGCATCCAGATCTCCCTTGCACCTGGATCCCCCACTGAGCTGCCCGCACCCAGATTGCCCCACACAGAACCCTCTCAACCCACAACTGGATCCCCCCACACTGAGCCCCTCCACACTTGGATCCTGCCTTGCTGAGCCTGCCTGACCACATCTGGTGCACCTAGCACAGAGGGGCAGGGCCCTGGGGTGTTTCTGAGGCAGGCCCAGTCCTTGTGCTGTGTCAGGGGTGGGTGCAGCCTCACCACTGAGTCCGTGTCTGGGGTGGGGGGACCTGCACAGTAATCTCCCACCTCTGTGCAGCCAGTGGCCTGTGCTCCCCACTGCCATGTTGGAGCCTCCACATTTATTTGACAAATAACATTTGCAGAATTTTCCAGAGTTTTAAAATATTGTGCGCAGAATTTTTAATTTTTCGGTGCAGAATTTTTATTTTTTTGGCGCAGAATGCCCTCAGGAGTAGCCTGTGCCCCACAGAGTTCTGTCCTCCTCTCCTGCCCCTTTCTCTCTCTGTGTCTGATCTCTGGCAAGCTTCTGAAACTACTGAGGCTACGTCACTAGTATTGGAGAATGCAAATCAGAGGCTTGACAGTTCCCTGGGCTGGGGTGCTCTGAGTCCTTGCACAGAGCGGGGAGGTATTTCCAAGTGGACGGCTGCTTCTCATGATTGTGTCTTGCAGCTCCCTGCACTGGCGGAGGGTGGAAGAGGAGTTCCCCCACATCTACACCCATGGCTCCATCTTGAAGGACATCTGCAGTGACTGCACCAGCTTCGTGACCGATGTCATCAGCTCGAGCCGGAAGAGCATGGACATCCTGAATACCACACCGCGCAAGGGGAGGAAGACGCAATCCCTCTACATCCAGCCCACACACATTGCCAAACACCAGTGAAGGACTCCACTGCCGCCCTGCTGGGCCTGGCCCTGGCAGCTTCACAGGCGCCAGGAGACAGGCTCACAACAACTCCGCAGTTTTAGCACCTTTGCAGAAATTGGCTCTCCAATGAGCACACCTCCCATTGAGCTCGGACTTCCTGGGCATCACCTGCCACTCTCACCGACATTCGTGCTCAAGAACCGAACCAAGATGGCTTCCAGATGACCCTGCTGCCTAAAAATTGCCAGCCATCCTTCCCTGGCGTGCCACAAACACCGCTGCCTGCCCCCAGCCTGACTGCTCGTGCCCCTCTTAGACCTCCATTGAGATACCCTGCTAGTGGGGATGTGTGTATGTACATATATAATATATATACAGCTCTATATTTATAGACATTAGTGACCAGCAAGATGGCACATCAGCCAGCGGGACTCACCAGGCTGCGGGTAGTGTCTGACGCCATGTGTTGCACAGCAGGGACCCCACTAGCTCGGTGTCTCCCCATGGGAGGGCAGAAGGACCCAATCGCTTGCTCTGGCTGAGGATGGGCAGGATCCAGGACGTGACTTGGAGCCCAGCTTCTCTCAGATCTGTCGGAGCAGGACCCAGAGTGTTTCATTCCTTCCCACCTGCGGAGCTGGTACTGCCCAGTTCCTTGGGGTCCCGGAGCAGGCTGGGGCGATCTGTCTGGAAGGTGGGGACCCTAAACATGTCGGGGGAGGAACTGTTCAGACCCTTCTGTTTACATTGCTTCTGATTCGCCTGGAAGGAAAGGAGTCCTTGGGCTGAGGCTCCTGGGCCAGTGTGTGCTGTGGCTAGCATAAGGCAACATGCTGGTTCTGCCACGTGGCCAAACCCCTGCCATTGGGATCAGGGACACAGGCTGTAGACCCCCTCCTCTGCCCACCCAGCCCGGCACCTTTCCCCTCCAGCTCGTCCCTTGGTGTCAAGGGCTGCCTGGGCTGGGAGGCCCCCAGGGCTCAATTCCCACCAAACACATCTGGCAGAGCTGGGCTGGCTAGAAGCCCTGGCTGGGTCTTAGGCCCTATGTTTGAGTCCAGGGCATAGTGCTTGTGATGGCCTGAGCACCTGTCCTGGGCAGCCAGAGGGGGTGTTGAGCCTTTGAGGTTCAGTGAGGGTGGCACATGGCCCTGCCCCGAGGAGCAGACTGGGGCCCTCTGCTCCCCGTGGGGAGACCCCCTGCGCATTACTGAGAGCAGAGGCTTTGCACGGCTCCTTTCTAGCTCAGTCATTGAGCCGGGATCATGGGGATCTCCAGTGTCTGCCTGTCCCCACTGCTCCCTTCCCTTCGCTGCCCTCCTCCCTGCAACCTCGCTCTGGCTGCCTGTCAGGGCCCCTGTCCCTGGGGTAACAAGGAGTCCGGTGGCACCTGGAAGACTAACAGATTTATTGGGGCATAAGCTGAAGAAGTGGTGCTTTACCCACAAAAGCTTATGCCCAAATAAATCTGTTAGTCTTCCAGGTGCCACCGGACTCCTTGTTGTTTTTGTGGGTACAGACTAACACGGCTCCCCCCGATACTTGTCCCTGGGGTGCCGCCCACCTGCTGTGCCACTGGCCGTGAAGCCGGCGCTGGCCGTATTTAGTCAGACACTCGGCTGTGAGTATATATTTCTCTCTGTGCCGCAAGGCTGCGCGTGGCACCGGGGCCTTTCCCCAAGGGGCTCGCTCCGGGAAGGGCTGGGCTGTTTGTCCTGTTCCCAGTGCGGGTGGCTGTGCCGTGCCGGTGAGTGACCCCGTGCAGCAGCAGGGGAGAGCAGCTGCAGGCAGCCAGGGCAAGGCTGGCCGTGTGGTCATGCAGAGCCCACAGGGCTGCTGCTTGCTTCGAATGAAACCGGCCATGCCCCTGCTGCCTGTGAAGCATCCCCAGCCCCCGCCAGCGCTCTGCACTTACCGGTAATAATAGGGAGCAGGGCTCTGCAGCAGCCCAGGGAGCCAGGCCAGCGCCGTCCCCAAGCACAGGGGCGAAGACAGAACAGACGCACAGAGAAGGGAGGTGTCTTGCCCAGGCCACCCCGAGCACAGTCCAGTACCAACAGCCCGAGCGTAACGGAGCTCAGCATGCTCTGCCGCTGCTCCTTGTTACAGGTGCTGGCGTGAGCTGGGGGCGGTAAGCTAGCCGGGCCGCACTGCACTGTCCCTAAAGACTGGCTCCAGCCCCTCTGGGGGTGCATTAGCCAAAAGCCTAGCATGCTAAATCTCACATGCCCCCGCCCCCTGGATCATCTCTGGGGGAGTAGCCAGCTGGCAGGGCTGTCGTGGTAGTAAAGTCTCACCATTGGCCTTTCTCCATCCCGGGAAGAGCCCAGCTGGCCGCCGCTCTCTGAGTAAGGAGCCCAGCGATGAGGAGCAAAGGTTCCTGCCCAGCCTGCTTCACTGGAGGTAGAGGAGATTGCCAAAGACTCTGCCAGCCCCACTCCTCTGGCTCCAGGCATCTCCTGGCCTTTCCAAGGCTGATTTGGGTTACGTGGTCTGGGCCCTGAACCAGACTAGTCACAGAACAAAAGGGAAGCCCTTGAGAAAGGCCTGACCAGTCACAGGTCCATGCTCTCTCCCATCTTAGTGCACCCAGATGTGGCTCAACATCCCCCCGGCCAAGAAGCAAGTGCCTGGAGCCCCGAGGAGTCCAGCTGGCCTTCTCTAAGCTTCATCGTCTGCTGCTTCACCACCGAGGCCTGCACTGAGGAGGCCTGGCTGGGTCACCAGCCACGGCTGCTGTTTAAATGTGCTCACAGAATGTATTTGTCTAGAGCATCCTTTGTACAAAGTAGCCTGGCTTATGGAGGTCTGAGGGACACCATGCCCTCCTCCCTGCCCAGGGCCAAGAGAGGCATGGGGACCTGGGGCAAACAAAATCATGCTCCTGTAGCAGGGTTCCTCAGAGAGCGGGTGTCCAGTGTACTGGGCACACCGTCTCCCCACAGACTGTGCCTGCCCAGATGCTGTGGTCCAGGTAAAGCACCCAAGCCGTGTAACTAAAGGGACTATTCCACAATGTGCCACTAGCCCTTTGTGTACCGCCCCTTGGGTGTGTGTTGTGTCCTGTGACACAGGGTAATACAAACTACACATGCCCAACGTGCCCAAACAAGTCCAGGGGCGGGACCTGATTTTCAGTAGCTCAGAAACCCCGGGCCCAGGCCACCAGTGCCTACTTTGCACTTTCACAGTCTGACTACATGGACAGATTGGGTTTCGTGCCTGCAGGTGGCCAGTTAGACATTCAGGCCTTGTCCACACTAGAAAAGGTTTGCTGGTTATACTGGCAAACCCTTCTGGTGGGGATGCAGCTGAAATGAGTGCTTTGGTAGTATAGTTTATACCAGTTCCCCAAACCAAATAGCTGTGCTGGCCAAAAGCCCCCTTTTGCTGCTATGACGGTCTCTACACTGGGGCGTTAGCCAGCCTAGCGATGTTAGGTAGGAGAGTGAATTTTCACACTCCTAACCAACATAGCTGCCGCAAAACTTTGCAACGTAGATCAGGCTTCAGACAGGCAACTGGCTCGTGCTCATAAATCAAGTAAATAATTGCCAGTGGATCTCTGCATGCAGCATGAAGTGACTGAGCTTTGGCAAACCAGGCCTGGATGGGAACTGGCAGCATTTGGGGGAAGGTGCATCTTCCCTGGGAAACTGCATAACGTGTGAAGGGGAAACAAGGGGGAATGCTCCTGCAGACTCCACGACCTAGCAGCCCCTCTCCACACTGAAGATGCCATCCTGGCAAAAACCCATGGTCCTCCGCTGCCCATGGGCGCTGGTTTGTGAGGTTAGCCTGCATTGGTGCCGCCCTGCTCGCTTCTCCCTGGTTTGACTCAACCACCTTTTGCTAACACATAAGAACGACAATGCACAAACGCATCCTCCTGCGCGTGTCAGGGTTGACAGGTGCGCGTGAATGGGGGTGACCCTGCCCGCATGTCCTGCCCATGGCTGAGCCATCGGCCAATGTTTTGTACACAGCCCATCCTGTACAGAAGAAATGTATATTGTAAATAACGTGCACCTGGACCGGCATGGTTGCTCTTGTACATACGGTTGCTCCCATACTAATAAATCCCTATTTTGAGCTGCAGTGGCTGTTTCGTAATGCTTTGTCAGCACATACTGATTCCTGTGCTGGGCAAGTGGGAAAGCTGGTGGGGTAGCTATGGGTGGATGGAAGCCGACCCAGACGGCGCTGTAGCTTACTCCTGGGGGAATTTTGTGCCACTGTGTGTGCGCAGAATTAATATCCCCTGCAGATTTCTTTGCTTTCCTGCAGAAAAATGACTTTCTGACAGGGAAGCTGCAAGAGCAGTCATGCACCACTCCTGGCAGAGCAGGTACATTGTTTCAGGCACCCGGAGCAGCCGGCGGAGAGGTAAATCACCATGGGGCTGGGGACACCCCAGCCAGTGGCTCCTACCCTGAGCCGGGATCAGCTGCTAATGCCGACTGGGCTGAAGGCAGGAGAGGACAGGACTTCCTCTTCCCCTGCAAGGAGTGTCTGGAGCTGTGTCAGACCCAACCCCAGAAACCTCCCGCAGCTGCAGAAAGCTCAGCATCCTCCCCTGCTTCCTGCCCCCATCGCTCCTCAACTGTGGGGGAAGGGGTCACTGTATGGGAAACTGCTCCCCCATCCATCCAACTCCTGTGCAGCCGGACCTCCCATACTGAGACACTGCTGCCAAGCCTCACCGGGTACATTCAGAACCTCCATACCCGAACCCCACCTCACTGAACCTCAACCCCTGCATCTGGACCACTCCTGCACCCAGATCCCCTGCCTCCGGACCCCCACCCCTGCACCCAGACCACCCCCAACTAAGCTCCCTACACTCAAACCCCCACACTGATGCCCCACCCCCTGCACACCACCCTGAGCCCCCCACACCCAGACCCCTCCACTGAGCCCCAACCACCTTCACCTGGAAGCCCTGCAGAGTCCCATTGGTCCTTCACCTGGAACCCACCCCCAACAAGCCTGTGCATCCAGATCCCCCCACACCTAGACCCCCCACTTAGCTGCCTGCACTCAGATTGTCCCACACAAAACCCTCTCTCCCCACACCTGGATCCCCCCACACTGAGCCCCTCCACACTTAGACCCTGCCTGGTTGAGCTGCCTGCCCCAGGGTGTTTCTGGGGCAAGCCCAGGCCTTGTGCTGTGTCAGGGTCAGGTGCCAGCTCACGGCTAAGTCTGTGTCCTGGGAGTGGGGAGGCCGCAGGGTGATCTTCCACCTTCAGCAAATCAGTGGCCTGTGCTCCCCCTGCCGTGCTGGAGCCTCCACATTTATTTATTGACAAATAAAACTTGCAGAATTTTAAAATATTGAGTGCAGAATTTGAATTTTTTTGGCACAGAATGTCCTGAGGAGGAGTAGCTGCACCAAGCCCCAGAGAGCTACTGAAATTGGTGGGAGAGGAAATTGTGAGGAAAGGAGCCTGCCCTAGGTGTCCAGGGCAGCAAGGTTGCTGGGCCAGCCCACGCTCAGCTTGTATTGAGAAGAGGAAGGTGAGCGCTTTTCCCCAGGAACTTTTTCAGCACCTTGTCCCTAAATTCTTATTCAAGTTTCATATGTATTCAAGTGTTCATGTTGGAGTGCCAGCCAGAGGCCGCAGTCAGGGTTGGGGCCCCATTGTGCTGGCTCTACACAGACACATGCAGAGACACAGCCCTGCCCCATAGAACTCACCGTCTAAGAAAGGTCTCAGTCCAAATTCAGCCATAAGAGAGCTGCACTTGTTTACGCTACGGCTGAGTTTGGCGCCTTGTGCGGGAGCCTTCGGCTTGCAGAGTGAGTGCCCTGCAGTGGTTACTGGTGCAGTCAGCCCTGTGGGTCCTGGACCCCAGCAAGGGGCTTTTCCAGACCTCCTGAATTGCTTTGTTCCTGCTGCGGATGGCTGTCTCCTGTCGAGATGGTGAGCTCAAAGGTGGGGACAGGCTTTCTATACCAGGGCTGGCTGGTGCCCCGGACCTGGCACTGTTGTTTGTGTTTGTATGAATTTCAGCGCTGGAGAAAGGCACCTGGGTGACAGCCCAGCAGCAGGAAGGCTTCCTTCTTCAGAGCAGGAGCAGCGGGTGCAGTATCAGTGTGAGCCTCCATTTGCCAGTGTCTCTCACCCCTAGCATGTCTCATTAACATATGTGTAAACAGACAGACATGGCTCTGGGATGCATGATCACCCAGTGCCCCAGCTGATGTCAGTGGCGGGGAGGGGCATGGGAATGATGCAATAAGAGAAGAGCACATTATTACCATAATCATGTCTTTATGGTAGTGCCTAAGGCCCACTGTGCTAGAGGTGCTGTACCTGGAAACAATAGTCCCTGCCGAGAACCACTTACTTGAACAGAGACACGGGGAGGGTCTGGCTGCACGGCTTCCGCAGCAGTCACCTCCTGCCCTGAAACGCCCTGGGTTGCTTTACTTATCAGCACGAACCAGACAAGTGGCTGTTTCTCTCCTTCACTCCTGGAGGTGCCGGGAGTCATGGTGGATTTAAATTCCTTCTGGCAGACGGGCACTTAGCCAGCATGGCATGAAGTGCATGAAGCTACCTCGGGCAGACCAGGCCTGGCAGCACACAGCACACGATGCCAAGATTGTGCCCATTCCTTGTCTCTCTTTCCTTACACAACACCTGGGTTGGCAGAGGGGCAGCAGCAGCAGTGCCCTGTGGCGCCTCTTCCTGCCCCGCACGCTGCAGCCCCCTCCCCACAGGGCAGAGCTGGGTCCAGGGGCAGATGGGGAACTCCTAGGCAGCCTGTGTCTCTGGCCAGGGAGGGGCCCGTCGTGGCCGGCCCCAGAGCTCAGCAGGAGCGAGGGAGCGCCTGTTGTGATGCGAATGGGGAGCCGCAGGGGCGCGCGTCTCCCGGAGAGCCGCTCCGCCCGCGGCCACCTCTAGGGAGCGCGTGGGCCGCGGCTCGCTCCCGCCGCAATTTATCTCACGCCGCTCAAGCCTGGGGGCGGAGCGTGAAACAGGGGGCGGAACGGAGAGCAGCGCATGCGCGCAGGGCCTCTGTTCCGTTCGGCCGCGGAGCCGCGCTCGTCGCCTGTCGCGCAGGCGCAGCAGAGGGGGGGCCGAGGCCGGCTCCATGTCGCGGCGGGCCCTGCGGAGGCTGCGCGGGGAGCAGCGGGGCCAGGAGCCCCTGGAGCCGGGGGGGCTGCGGCTGGGCCCCGAGGGGGCGGGGGAGGAGCCGAGCCGCGGCAGGAGGGGGCCGGAGCGGGGCGGGGTCAGCAACCTGTACGAGCTGGTGAGGGGCCGGGCCGGGCCGGTGGAAGTGCCGGGGGGGGGGGTGGAAGGACCGAGGGGGGGTGGAAGTGCCGGGGGCGGGGTAAGGACCGGGGGGTGGAAGTGCCGGGGGCGGGAGCGGTGGAAGGACCGAGGGGGGGGTGGAAGTGCCGGGGGCGGGAGCGGTGGAAGGACCGAGGGGGGGCGGGTGGAAGTGCCGGGGGCGGGGGCGGTGGAAGGACCGGGGGGTGGAAGTGCCGGGGGCGGGAGCGGTGGAAGGACCGAGGGGGGGGTGGAAGTGCCGGGGGCGGGAGCGGTGGAAGGACCGGGGGGGTGGAAGTGCCGGGGGCGGGGGGGGGTGGAAGTGCCGGGGGCGGGAGCGGTGGAAGGACCGAGGGGGGGTGGAAGTGCCGGGGGCGGGAGCGGTGGAAGGACCGGGGGGGGGTGGAAGTGCTGGGGGCGGGAGCGGTGGAAGTGCCGGGGGCGGGAGCGGTGGAAGGACCGAGGGGGGGTGGAAGTGCCGGGGGCGGGAGCGGTGGAAGGACCGAGGGGGGGTGGAAGTGCCGGGGGCGGGAGCGGTGGAAGGACCGGGGGGGGTGGAAGTGCCGGGGGCGGGAGCGGTGGAAGGACCGAGGGGGGGTGGAAGTGGGGGGCGGGAGCGGTGGAAGTGCCGGGGGCGGGGGCGGTGGAAGGACCGAGGGGGGGTGGAAGTGCCGGGGGCGGGAGTGGTGGAAGGACCGGGAGTGGGGGTGGAAGTGCCGGGGGCGGGAGCGGTGGAAGGACCGAGGGGGGGTGGAAGTGCTGTGGGGGGGTCCTAGCAGTGCCCCCCGCCCCAGCGGGCTGTAATGCGGAGCTGCCCCGCTGTGAGGGGAGGGGGCGTAATGGAGGCCAGGCTCTCCAGCCCCTGCTCCATGGCTATCCCCAGGTCTCGGCTGCCCCAGCGGGGCTCCTCGGCCCTTTGCTGGCAGGGGATGGGCCAGGTGGCCGGATCCACCCCATCCCTCTGGCAGTGAGCGAGTCAGGGGTCCGGGCTGTGAGAGCTTCTGCTGCGGGCCCTGCCGGCCCCTGGCTCGCCCATGTTCACTTGGGACAAGTGAGCGGTGCCCCCGTTCCAGGTACCAGCCTGGACGTGCAGCTGGGTGCCCACAATCTCCTCCCCACCCCGGTGGGCATACAGCCATCCAGGCTGAGCCCCGCTTCTCTCCTCTCATTTGTATTGTGGTATCGCCTGGGAGCCCCAGTTCTGGTCCAGGCCTCCATGGCTCCTAGATGAGACAAGAGAGAACAGATGGATGGGCAGACAGGGAGCAAAGAGACAGCCTTGGTGAGCATGACAGGCTCTGATCTCTGGACACCAGCAGCCAAACTCCTGTCAAGTTTCTTGTAGGCTTCTACCAAATGGCCAAATTTAGCTTCTGCTCCTGTCACGTTGGCAGGGTTTTTCTCTTTCTGTAGATGTGAGTAAAATACAGATCTGTGCTCCTGGTGTACAGCTTTGTGCTGGTGGGAACCAAGGCAATGCAGACTCAGCCAAGTATCCATCCCTCTGTTGTCCCCAGATTCCTGAACCTTGTACCCCTGTCTGCACAGATAACCAATGAAGAATTGGAGGATGATCCAGGATCCAAAGAGGAGAGGGCAGAGTCCAGACTGAACGAGCAAGATGGCACAGGGAACAATGAAGAAGCTGAAACTGGAGAGCCGGAGAGCGATGGGCAGAGAGCTGGAGAAGAGACTCAACAGGACCAGACAGTGACCAAACTGCAGGTACCTGGGAATGTTCAATATCCACACCCGCTAGGGATTGGTCATAATTATGAAGAGAGTTCTTACTCCCTCTTCATACTGGCATCGGTAGCTCCTTGCCTTACTGGGTTAGTGCATCAGTCTGTGACCTCTGGGGACCAGAATTCAAATAAGTGAAATTGACTGGTTTCAACTGAGATGCCATTTGTCCACCTCCCCAAAGCACTGCATACCTTGGCCTGACTGACAGTGTGAGGCCTAGGGTTGGAACAGCAGGGCATAGCTGTGTTGGGTTCTCATCCATCCTCCCCGTGGAAGGAAAAGGCAAGTGGTGTTCTCGTCCATCCTCTCGCAAGTGGTGTTCTCGTCCATCCTCCCCGTGGAAGGAAAAGGCCTGGGTAGGGACTGTCGAATCGTGGAAGTCAACGAATGGCTACGCAGGTGGTGTCGGAGAGAAGGCTTTGGATTCTTTGACCATGGGATGGTGTTACATGAAGGAGGAGTGCTAGGCAGAGACGGGTTCCACCTTACGAAGAGAGGGAAGAGCATCTTTGCGAGCAGGCTGGCTAACCTAGTGAGGAGGGCTTTAAACTAGGTTCACCGGGGGAAGGAGACCAAAGCCCTGAGGTAAGTGGGAAAGCGGGATACCGGGAGGAAGCACAGGCAGGAATGTCTGTGAGGGGAGGACTCCTGCCTCATACTGAGAATGAGGGGCGATCAGCAGGTTATCTCAAGTGCTTATATACGAATGCACAAAGCCTTGGAAACAAGCAGGAAGAACTGGAGGTCCTGGTGATGTCAAGGAATTATGACGTGATTGGAATAACAGAGACTTGGTGGGATAACTCACATGACTGGAGTACTGTCATGGATGGTTATAAACTGTTCAGGAAGGACAGGCAGGGCAGAAAAGGTGGGGGAGTAGCACTGTATGTAAAGGAGCAGTATGACTGCTCAGAGCTCCAGTACGAAACTGCAGAAAAACCTGAGTGTCTCTGGATTAAGTTTAGAAGTGTGAGCAACAAGAGTGATGTAGTGGTGGGAGTCTGCTATAGACCACCGGATCAGGGGAATGAGGTGGATGAGGCTTTCTTTCCGGCAGCTCACGGAAGCTACTAGATCGCATGCCCTGGTTCTCATGGGTGACTTTAATTTTCCTGATATCTGCTGGGAGAGCAATATAGCGGTGCATAGACAATCCAGGAAGCTTTTGGAAAGCGTAGGGGACAATTTCCTGGTGCAAGTGCTAGAGGAGCCAACAAGGGGGGGAGCTTTTCTTGACCTGCTGCTCACAAACCGGAAAGAATTAGTAGGGGAAGCAAAAGTGGATGGGAATCTGGGAGGCAGTGACCATGAGTTGGTCGAGTTCAGGATCCTGACACAGGGAAGAAAGGTAAGCAGCAGGATACGGACCCTGGACTTCAGGAAAGCAGACTTCAACTCCCTCAGGGAACGGATGGGTAGGATCCCCTGGGGGACTAACATGAAGGGGAAAGGAGTCCAGGAGAGCTGGCTGTATTTCAAGGAATCCCTGTTGAGGTTACAGGGACAAACCATCCCGATGTGTCGAAAGAATAGTAAATATGACAGGCGACCAGCTTGGCTTAATGGTGAAATCCTAGAGGATCTTAAACATAAAAAAGAAGCTTACAAGAAGTGGAAGCTTGGACATATGACCAGGGAAAAGTATAAAAATATTGCTCGGGCATGTAGGAATGAAATCAGGAGGGCCAAATCGCACCTGGAGCTGTAGCTAGCGAGAGATGTCAAGAGTAACAAGAAGGGTTTCTTCAGGTATGTTGGCAACAAGAAGAAAGCCAAGGAAAGTGTGGGCCCCTTAATGAATGAGGGAGGCAACCTAGTGACAGAGGATGTGGAAAAAGCTAATGTACTCAATGCTTTTTTTGCCTCTGTCTTCACTAACAAGGTCAACTCCCAGACTGCTGCGCTGGGCATCACAACATGGGGAATAGATGGCCAGCCCTCTGTGGAGAAAGAGGTGGTTAGGGACTATTTAGAAAAGCTGGACGTGCACAAGTCCATGGGGCTGGACGAGTTGCATCCGAGAGTGCTAAAGGAACTGGCGGCTGTGATTACAGAGCCATTGGCCATTATCTTTGAAAACTCGTGGTGAACGGGGGAAGTCCCAGATGACTGGAAAAAGGCTAATGTAGTGCCAATCTTTAAAAAAGGGAAGAAGGAGGATCCTGGGAACTACAGGCCAGTCAGCCTCACTTCAGTCCCCGGAAAAATCATGGAGCAGGTCCTCAAAGAATCAATCCTGAAGCACTTACACGAGAGGAAAGTGATCAGGAGCAGTCAGCATGGATTCACCAAGGGAAGGTCATGCCTGACTAATCTAATCGCCTTCTATGATGAGATTACTGGTTCTGTGGATGAAGGGAAAGCAGTGGATGTATTGTATCTTGACTTTAGCAAAGCTTTTGACACGGTCTCCCACAGTATTCTTTTCAGCAAGTTAAAGAAGTACGGGCTGGATGAATGTACTATAAGGTGGGTAGAAAGTTGGCTAGATTGTCGGGCTCAACCGGTAGTGATCAATGGCTCCACGTCTAGTTGGCAGCCGGTGTCAAGTGGAGTGCCCCAGGGGTCGGTCCTGGGGCCGGTTTTGTTCAATATCTTCATAAGTGATCTGGAGGATGGTGTGGATTGCACTCTCAGCAAATTTACGGATGATACTAAACTGGGAGGAGTGGTAGATACGCTGGAGGGCAGGGATAGGATACAGAGGGACCTAGACAAATTGGAGGATTGGGCCAAAAGAAATCTGATGAGGTTCAATAAGGATAAGTGCAGGGTCCTGCACTTAGGACAGAAGAACCCAATGCACAGCTACAGACTAGGGACCGAATGGCTAGGCAGCAGTTCTGCGGAAAAGGACCTAGGGGTGACAGTGAACAAGAAGCTGGATGAGAGTCAGCAGTGTGCCCTTGTTGCCAAGAAGGCCAATGGCATTTTGGGATGTATAAGTAGGGGCATAGCCAGCAGATCGAGGGACGTGATCGTCCCCCTCTATTCGACATTGGTGAGGCCTCATCTGGAGTACTGTGTCTAGTTTTGGGCCCCACACTACAAGAAGGATGTGGATAAATTGGAAAGAGTCCAGTGAAGGGCAACAAAAATGATTAAGGGACTGGAACACATGACTTATGAGGAGAGGCTGAGGGAACTGGGGTTGTTTAGACTGCAGAAGAGAAGAATGAGGGGGGATTTGATAGCTGCTTTCAACTACCTGAGAGGTGGTTCCAGAGAGGATGGTTCTAGACTGTTCTCAGTGGTGGAAGAGGACAGGACAAGGAGTAATGGTCTCAAGTTGCAGTGGGGGAGGTTTAGGTTGGATATTAGGAAAAACTTTTTCACTAGGAGGGTGGTGAAACACTGCAATGCGTTGCCTAGGGAGGTGGTGGAATCTCCTTCCTTAGAAGTTTTTAAGGTCAGGCTTGACAAAGCCCTGGCTGGGATGATTTAATTGGGGATTGGTCCTGCTTTTGAGCAAGGGGTTGGACTAGATGACCTCCTGAGGTCCCTTCCAACCCTGATATTCTATGATTCTATGGGAGTGAGGTGCCCGGGTAGAGCAGTCTGTTGGGAGGGTAGTGGAATACCTGGATCAGGACATGGTGATTAGCTGTGAAGAGAAAGTTACTGTAGCAGTTATCTGAGGTAAGTGGCTTGTGCCATTCTTACTAGTCCTATATTTTCATGAGGACTAAATTCATGCAAAATGTATGGAAGGGGAAAAAAATCACTGGTAGCTTGAAATAGAAATTATTGTCCTTTTTCCCCTCCATTGGACACTTGAATTAATTGTTGGGTTGCTTACAAGGACAGGTCTGTTGTCTTAACAAAGTACACTGATGCATTTGCTTTGAAGATGCACATATGCAGAATTACATGAAGATTTCAAACAGGTACAAGGGAATGCAGGTTAAATACTGGGTTTTGGGGGGCTTGACAGTAGTGCTTTGTTGGGGTTTTTTTTGGTCTTAGATTAAGAAAAGTGAGGGGGATTGTCAGGGTCAAAGATGGAAAGCAGCTTCACTGTTGTATGCTGTGGAGGAAGCTCATAAGAGAAGGGGCAAGTTAGTTAAGTTAGTTCCAAATTACAAAAACTACGTGATATTTCAGAGGTGGTGGTTCTGGAGCGCTGCCTAAGCTGTGGATACATCTCCAGATACAATATCTGTGTGGAGCCAATACTCCTGAGAATGAGTTTTAGCTCTGTGTGCCCTGGGAAAAGAGTACGCCTGCCTGCCTTGTTGGATAAGACTAGGGTCTAAGTAGTTGTACCTAGACAGAGTGGAGAGCCCATATCACCTGTGATGTTTTCAGGCAGCTTTATGTTTCTATGGTAATGAGTGATTTTTGAGATACCCCTGTAAAAGGAAAGAATAAACAAAAGAAATGTTAATTACCACTGAGACTTGGGGGAGCAAAGGGAGGTTAAAACAACTCCCTCCAATCCTGAAGAAACCAGAATGTTCCTTGCTTGATCTTGTATTGAATAATCATACCCAGACACTGGTATGAGAATACGGTTTAACCCCTTAAGGCTGAGAATTGATGGTTGATGCATTTTGTGACCTCTTGCCCTCACCCTTCCCTAATCTTGTTCCCCGTTTCAAGTGTGACAGAAACGGCTCTTTCCTAGGCCGAGCCCATGGCAGTCTGTGTTCCTGTTGGAAATGCCACCTCCACCTTCCTTGCTGCCTCCCTCCCATGCACTCACTGGCGCCTGTTGCATTTCTCTCCATAGCCTGTATCAACTAACAAGCCACGGAAGAAAAAAAAGAAACGGAAGAACAAGAGAACTGCAGCTGGTGAGACTCCGGTATGTCTGCATCAGATCTGGGATTTAGCCCCACCCTCTTCTCTCCAGGCTCAGGAGACCCCTGGGAGCGCTCGCCCACATTTGTGAAGTGCTTTGAGATCCATACACAGAAAGTGCTACGTAGTGTGTTGCACTTATTTATTTGGAGGCTGTGATTCGTGTTTCATAGCCTGCATTCGTGTCCCTAGAGCTCAGCTGCAAGTTATTAAAGCAGGAACCGTCAAACCAGCATCTTTCATCTTAATGACTTTTGTGGTGTGGGGCGGTCCTCTGGGATCTTGCTTTTGTGCCCTTCCCTTTTTTCTCTCCCGTATCCTCCCAGGCCCTGCGTAACAGTGACTCTTCCTGCTAGGCAGGGCTAGACACTGCTCTCTCTAGCTGCCAGTGTTCCAGTCCCTGGCAAGAGGGCTCACTTGAGAGCAACACTGGTGTGCTGTCCTCTTGCCTTGCCAGGCCTGGGCACTCGCCCCCTGCATAGCGGCAGTGATCTGTGCAGTATGCAGTACTTCAGGGAAGAGGACAGTGTTCCTATCTGAAGCAGGCACTGGCGGCTGACTGTTGTTAGTAGTCAGTATTTACATAGCACTGTAACTTTTCATGGTGCTTTCGAGTTTTAAAGAACTCGTATAGTTGCAGCACCCAAGAGGTTCTAATCTAAATCAAACAAACATAGAACATGGAAATAAAATCACCAGGGAGGGCACAGACAAGGGTTAAAAAAAGTACAAACTCAAACTTGTAGACACTAAGGCCAGAAGGGACCCTTCTGATCATCCAGTCTGACCTGCCTAGCACAGGCCAGAGAATCTCCCCCAGTGACTCCTGCACTGAACCCAATAACTTGTGACTGAGTTAGAGCACTTCCTTTAGCACCACAGCCAGTCTTGAGTTAACGGCTAAGGATGGAGAGAATAGCCTGAGTCATCGTGTAATGGACGAACAGCAAGGCAAGTGGGGAGGAGCAGCCAGCCCAGAATGGGACTTCAGACAGAAAGACAGGAGTGATCTGTTCTCTTGCGAGCTGGGGTGAGACCGATTCTTTAATGGTTGTGATGTCTTTGCATGGTGCCTTAAGGAAGACGATGACCTGGAAGACATTGACAGCATTCTGGAGAAAATGGAGGATTCCAGTGGGCTGTCGTATGACACCAAGAGTGGTGTAATCGCAGACAGTCGGCCTCTGCTCTACGTAGAGCACAGGTAATGTGCATCACTGCCCGTCTCCCTCCCGCTTTCTGAGGGGGCTTTTGTTGCTCATTGCTCTGAGGTCTTTGAGCGTGTAGGGAACTCCTGTCCCAAGGGAGCTTTGGGAGTCTTGCTGTAAAGTGCTCTCTCTGGCTTTGAGTTGGCACCATGCTGAAAAGGTGCTGCAGCATTGGTAACTGAGGGCAGCTCATAATCTGACCACCTGTTGCTTCAGTCGAAAGGCTGAGTTATTGGTAATGCTTTTGGTGTTCCTCATCCCAGTACAGAGGCACCTCTGAAGAGCTGCCGCAACCTGGCAGGGTAAAGCACCACAACCAAATTAAACTGGGCAGCTGATTTATACCTTGCAGCTGCATCCAGACAGGTTATAATCTTCCTCATTCCAACAACAGTCAGGCTATGTCTACACCACGCGGCTTACAGTGGCACAGCTGTGCCACTAAAGCCTTGCTGTTGTAAGGCATGCAGTGTAGCCACTCTTTGTCGGCAGGAGAGAGCTCTCCCATGACAAAATAAAACCATCCCCAGCACGGGGCAGTAGCTTTGTCCACACCGGTGCTTTTCGTCGGTAAAGCTTTTGTCAGTCAGAGGGGTGGTTTTTTTCATGTCCCTGATCAACAAAAGTTTTACTGATGAAAGTGCAGTGTAGACATAGCCTCAGTGCCAAGCAGAGCATGGTCCATCCTCTGCAGGGGTCTGTATGGTACCATCGTGGCCCCACAGAGCTAATAGAACCAGCAGTGAACTTGTCCACGTGTGACCACCACCAAACTGGCTCATCCGCTGATCTCAACAAAACGCTGAGGAACGAAATGGCCACAGATATTAGAGGGGTCCTGTCTCATCCAGGCCGTACCCCACTGTACAGTCACCAGCGTGTTGTGGATGGGTCCAATCACTGGATCCCATGTGCTTCCAAGCCAGGTGGATCAGTCGAGTCTAGTCACTGTTTCTAGTCCTGGGACCATCGGTCGTGCTCCCAGCTTCCGACCTCTTGTCTGGCACCCATCTTTGGGACATGGGGTGCTACTACTCAGCCTCTCTAGACCCTGAACCCAGTGTCTGAGACCTGCTGAGCCCCCCAGTCACTGACACGCTCCTTCAGAGTTCCCCCGACCTGTGGGCACCCTGGACTTCTAGTTGAATCCCTTGGAAGACAGCATGGCACCCAAGCTTACCCAGGGAATTTTGTAGTTGCAGCGACTTTACCCTTGGGACACTTGAGTGACAGAGCTATGAAAACAATGAAAGTCCTAAGATGCCCTCTCCACTGGTCTGAGCTCACCCTTCTTGTGAGTCTGAGGTTTCTCAGACCTCTCTTTGCTGCAAGTCCTTATGTGTGGTGCAGGTCCGCTCCCTGCAGAGCAGAAGTACCCTGCACTTAAATAGGGCCCCCTGAGCCATGTGCTCAGGCTGAGAAGCTACAGACCCACCAGGTGCTGGCCCCTCTCCCATGACCCCCTGTGTAGAAATGGGGAGGGGCCGGTCATGGACAGACGGTCAAGTTGTTGGCCCCAGACTGTAGCTTGAATGGTTGTTAGTATTAGTCTGTCAGCCCGGTGTGTCACACCTTTCCTGGGCCGGGAGCTGGCTGGAACGCAGGACAGTGTGTGTGTCCAGGGTGGTGCAGTCAGTGTCCAACATTTCCACATACACAACGTGATAGAATTGGTGATTGGATTCGGGCATACACTGCTGTGTCACGTGTCCCTTCCAGGCAGTGGGGTCGCTTGCCCATGCAGAATCTGCTATGTGGATCGAGGACTTGTTCTCCAGGTCTGATAGATTCCTGTTTCCAGCAATTAATTCCAAAGTGTGTACACAATTTGGAAACTGGGGTCCTATGTTTTTCTATTTAGGATCAAGCATAAGTATCCATAAAGCAGCCCTGAACAGAGGGTTCTCTGTTGATGCTTTAGAGTCTAAATTAGTCTAAAGTTTAGACTAATTACACCAATTGCCCTAGAGAGGGCAGCAGTATTATTCCATGACTGAACATAGTCTTTGAAATGTGACCTATGTTCCCTGTAGAAAAACTGGTTGAATCTGAATCTTGAAACATCCTTGCATGGTCCCTAGCTTTGGAGTGTCAGATCACTGATCTGGGCATCAGTGCAGGAGTTTGAAAACAGGTGACTTCAATATTGGTAAAATGGGTGAATGCCGCTTCAGAAAAGCTTGCTCTGGGAATAATTCTTGGTGGTTTTCCTCACCTGTATCTTACATTTTCCAGAAACTTGAATCCAGAGACTGAGCTGAAGAGGTACTTTGGGGCTCGGGCCGTTCTTGGCGATCAGAGGTGAGACCAGAGTTGCAATATTAACTATATTTTCAAAGCATGGATCAGTCTCTCTTCATTTCTAGTGGTACCACAGACTGTACCTCCAACCCTTCTCCTAGACGGGCAGGCTAGAGAGAGTGCCCACAGGCATATTGTTTATACCCCTCTTCCAGGGCTCCTCACTTACTTACGAGTGACCGTGAGGGAGGCAGAAATAATCATTTTTTTTTTTAAAAAGTGAAGCACTAGACGTTTGTGTGGAAGAAGGCAAGACTTCATCCAGATTCACACCACATCCTTGCTTTTGTTCCATGACTCTCCTCCCGTTACTGTTACCTGCACTGCGAAAGCACGATCACTGTTCTGTGTCATTATGGGGCCCTCACATTTTCCTTGTTATTCCTTTTAATTTTTCTTTATCAGTTCTTGCCGCTGTAGAATCTCTGCAGTTTTGCGGGGTGGGGTCAGAGTGGCCCAGTCCCTGCAGCTGGGCTCAGGTACACTTGTGTGCTGTAGACCCAAGGAAGCTGTCCAGCTGTTTCCTCTGCATGTGCTGTACTTGTGCAGGTCTCATTATTTATTTGCAATGTGTTGGGCACCATTCCTGCAAATGAGAAGCTGATGCCCCTTGCTTCAAAGAGCTTGCACTGTGGCTGAGACACATGCAGTACAGTAGGAACGCAAGCTCAAAGCGATGGTGGTGATAGCTGGAGAGATCATCTCTGAGAGGCTCTGTGGAAGAAGGGTGCTCATTAAGAAGGAATTTGAAGGCAGAGAGGAGGTGACTAGTGCAAGGGAAGAGGGAAACGTTTCCAAGTGTGGAGGATTGGCTGTGTTCCTGGAAAGATAGCCCGGGTTTCTTAGCTCCTCCTAATCACTGATCCTATACACATCTAAGTGAGCTGTAGCTCACGGAAGCTTATGCTCTAATAAATTGGTTAGTCTCTAAGGTGCCACAAGTACTCCTTTTCTTTTTGCGAATACAGACTAACACGGCTGTTACTCTGAAACCTGTACACTTGTGTCTTGTGAGTTCAGCCAGAGAGTTTGAGACCCGCTGGCATGGGTCCTGGAGAGAAGGTTGGATTGGACTGACTGACAGGGGATGGCTCTGCGAACTGGGAGTGGGAAGCTGTTCCAGGGGCAGGAGGGAAATTGGCAAAAAGTGGGAGCTGGGGAAGGGAATCAATGGAGCGGAGAGGCTGACAGGCCAAAGCCTAGGTGGAAGCTGGAGTGCAGCCATGCAGAGCCTCGAAGGGACACCTGAGAATGTTCAACTTAATAAAACTACAGCAAAAAACACCAGGGCAAGGGGGAGACCGTGGAGGGATTTGATTAATTTCCTAGTGCTGCAGTGAGATGAGATGTTGGATCTCTTTGTCCCAAATCCAAGCACTGGAGAGCTATCATCTGCTGCCGATCCCCACACTTAGCTTTGGTCCTGTTCCATAGCGTGTGTCCTGTACGTAGAAGCCATGATGTAGTGTTTGGTTCCCACAGGCCACGGCAGAGGCAGCGTCAGTACGTTCGCAGCACGTGGCTGACTGCTCCCAAGGACACCTGGCCACGCTACAGCAAAACAGGCAAGTTCTTCCCGGCTCTTGGGTGAGCCGTCGGTCTCTCTGTCGAGTCCATGGGAGCACTGAGTTCCAACCCTCTGTTTGGAACATGCCTCCACTTCCTGGTTTTGCCCACACGGCTGTTACTAGCGCCTGGTTAGTGTGCAGAGTGCAGCATGCCGAGGCCAGGCTCCCCTCCCTGCTAGAGCAGACAGCGCTGTTTGTCCGTGCTGGGGCATGCCCTCCTTACTGCACTGCAGAGAGGCCTCCAAGGGCTCTTAAGTGTCATGCTGTAGCTTTGTGTTTTTCAGAACATTTTTCCTCCTCTGAAAGGTCCTAAGGTATGTTTGTTTCCTTCCTTGAACGTTTCTTCCCTTGGATGGCCCTGCTGGCTGATCAGAGGCATGCCTGGGAGGGCCCTGCTGCTGGGGTTTTTGGAAGTGGGGGGCAGGGGGAGAACTTGGAAGCATTTGCCCTAAGGGGGAAGTCACCTAGATGAGCTCTGAATGCATAGCTAGTCTGAAAACAGTCCTGTTGTGGCCCCAGTGATGTGAATGGGCTTCCTTCACCCCAGTGCTACCAGCTCTGCGCGGGCAGTGAGAAGCTAATTCTTCCTGGTTGGCAGAAGCTGCCTCTCTCTTCCTGAGGGAGCAATGGCTGTCCATGTGCACCCCTAGGCATTGCCATGAGGCTGCTGGAGACAAGAAGAGGAGTCCAGCACTTCACGTTTGAGCACCATCGAGAGTACCAGCAAGTGCAGTTCAAGTTCCTGGATGCAGTGGAGTCTCTGGACCCAAACAATATCGTGGTATGTCATAAAAGAAGGATGCCCGGAGCATAGCCATCAGGCCAGGTGCAGCTGGCGGAACTGTACGATGCCACCTGCACCCCATTACCTTGACTGTGGGTGTGTGGCTAAAAGTCCCAGCCTTCATTCTACTGAGCTACGCTGCTAGGCACTGTAGGCTGGGGCACGTCATCTCCTGTGCACCAGCAGCTTGGCTCACGACCGGGCTGGGCAAACCTTTTGGCCCGAGGGCCATATCTGGGTATGGAAATTGCATGGCGGGCCATGAATGCTCACAAAATTGGGGTTGGGGTGCAGGAGGGGGCGAGGTCTCTGGGGTGGGGCCAGAAATAAGTTCAGGGTGCGGGAGGGGGCTCTGGGTGGGGGGGAGGGGGGCTGAGGGCTCCAGCTGGAGGTGTGGGCTTGGGGACGGGGCTGAGGATGAGGGGTTTGGGGTGTAGGAGGGTGCTCCAGGCTGGGACTGAGGAGTTGGGAGGGCAGGAGGGGGATTAGGGCTGGGGAAGGGGGTTGGGGCACAGGAGGGGCTCAGGGGTGCAGGCTCCAGGCAGCACTTACCTCAAGCAGCTCCCGGAAGCAGTGGCATGTCTCCCCCTCCAGCTCCTATGCGGAGACATGGCCAGGTGGCACTGCACGCTGCCCCGTCTTCGAGCCAAACCCCTGCAGCTCCCATTGGTTGCAGTTCCTGGTGAATGGGAGCTGCGGGGGCGGCACTTGGAGCGGGGGCAGGATGCGGGGGGACATGCTGCTGCTTTTGGAAGCTCGAGGTCCGGATGTGGCTCAAGATCCCCTGCTCAAGATGGAGTATTAATTGGTGAGATGTGTAATCTCCCTGGACCACAGCTCTGCTGCTCGCTGATCCGTGTCATGCAGAAGAGGTGAGTGCCAGGGCTCCTGACAAGTTGCCAGCATGTCCCTGGGCAGATTTGAGGCCCTGTGATTGAGACAGTAGATGGGTCTGCATGGAGCATTCATTCTAGGTAGCCATTGAGACCAGACCTCCCGAATAAAGCTCTATTGTCTTCACTCTTCAGCTGGGAAAGTCAAAAATACTACAGAGGGGAAAGTGACCTTTTAGGGCAGGATCTAAAATAACAACCGCTTTGTTTATAAAAACTAAATTGCATGGAAGAAAAAAAAGTGTACCCTTTCCCTGGTATGTTGGTTGAACAGTCCCTGCACTGAAACATTATTGAGCGTGTCCAAGCTAATTACAGCGGATGGCACCATTTATAGCACTCAGTAACAAGCTTACAGTGGAATTCTTCTGGGCCCTCATGCAGTATAATTGAGACATGCTTTCTCTGGAAGCCCTGCCCTAAATGAGCACACGTGTGCATTTAAGAGACTTTTTTTAAAGGGGCCATTGTCCAATAAATAAGGTTCTTTCTGATCCCCTTTCACTTTCCTGTCCTCTTGTGCTAGTTGCTGTTCTCCTGAGCTTGACAGCTCTGCTTATTAGCCAGCCCCCAGGATCACTGTTAAATGGTGCAGGGCACTTCCTCCCTAAGCGTGCTCAACTTGAGAGCAAGAAGTCTGGGCCTGGGTCAAAGCTGGGTCTTCCGTGTAGCAGTGCAGAGCCACGTTGGCCTGCCATGTAACAGTGGGGTTCCACGGTGGTGCACATCCCCCCATGCAGTGCGCATGTTCCACCCCCCCCAATTGGTCAGCGCTGTTGTAGAGTCTGGACGGTATGTATCTTTCCTACAACTTTCTTCTCTTCCATCTTTCAGCTGAATCAAGGTGAAATTTAACAGGACTGGGGTGGTTCATAATGCCAAAAATATCTCTGTTTATCTGTGACATTTGTGATGCCTGCAGAACCTTAGGCACTGCATCTAACCTGATCCCATAGAAAAAACATGATTTGTGTAGGTCCTATTAGTAGTGAAACTTTCCAGTTCTCAGCAGTGGAGTAGCTGGATTTCATGGGAGAACCTTTTAAATTTTTAGTGCTAGGAGCAGTTTCTCCCATTGGATTGACACTGGGCACTCTGTTACTATGGAAACTGGGGCCATGTGAGTACCTAGAACACTGAGAGGTCAAAACAATGAGTGTGTAAGGGGAATCTAGGTGAATGCTGCAGCCGTTACGTACCCAACGATAATTCATGCAGCCTTGACCATTCACATCCTTCTACCGAGGCGGGAACATTGGGCAGAACACTAGGAAAAGCGGAGTGGCATCTCCCACAGATGGGTCTTACGTGCTGTCTGAAGGGGCTACCCCAACCCTACTCTGTAGGATCAGCACTGAGCGCCATGTGATGGCCTGGGATCTGATCCCATTTCCTTCAAACCCGGAGGCAGGCATGCGACCAGCTGAGCCTCACTGACACCTCCATAAGATTAATTTTCTAGTGCCTCCCTTCTCCCAGCGTTCTGGTTCCCAAGTCACTGCACAGTGTTTGCCATCCTGCCGCCCTCGCAGTGTGTGACTCCCAAGGTCCCATGCACAAAGAAGCAGCATGTTATGTAAACACTTAATCCAACCCAGCCCACTTCTCCTGTCTGCATGTAGCTTTTGCTCCAGATGAACCCGTACCATGTGGACTCGCTGCTGCAGCTAAGTGAGGTGTGTCGAATGCAGGAGGATCAGGAGATGGCCCGAGATCTTGTAGGTGAGAATTGGGAGTGAGGAACTAGTGGGCAGGTGATGTGGGACTGCACTGCTGCGTGCCTTGATAGTGCTCGTGGTTAGTGTCACAGCAGCTGAGAGAGAGGGGCCCTGCCAGCTCTACAATTCTTTACGATATCTGCGGCTTCTGGCTACTTATGCCAAGGTAGGAGGGATTGTGGTTCTCCAGTTTTCCTGACTTGTGAGCCAGCTCATAAGCCTCTCCGGGGTTGTAACTTCCAGTCTCTCCTTGTCTCCTAGCTCACACAGTTCTTTCCAAAGAGTAGGTGAGTGCCACGAGTACTGAGCCATGCACCATCCAGCTAGTTACCTACGTTCACTGGGGAGAGAGGAAATTCAAGGCATCTTGCCATATCCCAGTGTGACAGAACACAACTGATCAGCCCCTGCTGCTAGAAGTTGTATAGGAAGAACACAGTGTAGGCAATAGCATTTGAGCTCTGCAGTGTAATTACCATTTCTCATTAGAAACGGACTCTTCAAACCCCCATACGTGACTGGTCAGTGTGCGGCAAGTCAAGGTGTGAACCTACAGCACACCAGCTTGTCACTCAGTCACGTCCCATTTGGGTGCAGTTTGGTGGGTGCTGGTCAGTGGGAGGAGCAGGGTTTGGCCAGACATGAGACCTTTGAGGATGGCAGAGGGCGAAGGGGGACTCTCAGAGGACCAGCCCCTCCAGAAATCTCTGAGGAGGCTGGATTGTGATTTTCAGTGGATAGGAAATGTAGCTGTTGAAAGGTCAGGGGCTTCCAGAGTCTTCATCCAACTCCTTGGTGCTGGCCTGAAGCTAGTGGACCTATATGGGTTGAGCGCTGGGAAGCACGTCTGATCTTAGCAAGTTTCTGGAGTGTAACAGGGTGCCTGTTCTAAGCCCTTCGGTAGGAATGCAGGGTTCAGTGTACCGAGACCTGGCAGTGGGATTCAGGGTCACTGCTGAGTCGTGCTGGTGGGCAGGTCCAGTGAGGACAGAGGAGCTCTTAGATGGGGAGTTCTGGAAGGCAGCTCATACTGAGTTCTCTGCTCTGGTCTCTTGTTGCCAATACAACCAAACCTCAGAAAGGGGCAATAACTCAAGGACCATGTGTGCCGCTGAGAGCAGGCTGGGGACTCTGCCTGGTCCGGGGATGTTTGAGTCCCCGCCGCATGGAAAAGAGAGTGCTGGGTGTGATCCGCAGACCCAGACACGTGCAGATAATGATAGTCTTATCTTCAGTGAGACAGAGTCACTGGCGAGCCGGGGCACTGCTGGGAAACCAGCACTGGGCTGCTGCCGATTGGAAGGTATCAGATGGAGGCAATACCAGGCCCCACGGGCTAGAACAGAATCTGCGGTTTTGAATCCCAAGATAGCTGTGCAGTTGGCTCATCCTTGAGCCCTGAGCCCAGGCCTCCTACCGATAAATTTTTGTTCAAAATCCTAGCACCCAAAACATAGTTCTGGGGAAAGGTGGCTTGCCCACAGTCCTCTGTGCAGGACAGATACAGCCTGGCAGGCATGTTCCACTTGGCCCTGACCTGCAGAGTAACTGGGCTCCCCCAGCCTTTCAGGTCTGCTGAGACTGCCAAACTAATCACTGGTGTGGCCGTGGCCCTTGCTAGGAAACTCAGACTGCATGGTCTGTGGGCTGTAGGCCCCTGAGCAGCCATTTGTCAGTGGTGTCCGGGGGCTGGATTTGACTGCCACATTGAGAAGTGGGGGTGAGGTATGGCCATTCCCCTAATAGTGCTTGTGTTGTGTGCAGAGCGAGCGCTGTACAGTCTGGAGTGTGCGTTTCACCCTGTGTTCAGTCTCACCAGTGGAACCTGCAGGCTTGATTACCGGAGACCTGAGAACAGGTGAGGACCTCCCAGCCTGTCCCTCTTCTGTGCATGGGGTTGGTATGGGGAAATGAGATTCAGCCTAGAGGTGGTTCTGAGTGTGCTGTTCACCCTCATTTAATGTCCAGCTAATCAGAGCCCCAACTTCTGCACCTGGGCAGGAAATCCGTCGGGAAACAGCAGACGGATGCAGAAACTGCTTGCCCCTCAGTACCTTTAATTTGCTCGTGCTTCCAGTTCCAACTTGATGTCAGACTTCTTTTTGTCACAGTTCAGGTGCTTCTCCAACTCTGACATTAGTACCCACCCCTGCAGTTCTCCAACATCTGTAACTTGAAAGCCATGAGGAGTTTGTGGCAGCTGCTGTGGCTGCGGATCGTGGCTGCTGTAAGCCTGGGCAGTCAAATTGGAACAGAATCCCTGACTCCCTCTCCTGTCTTCCAGAGCCCCTGGCCCCAGCTCTGTACCGTCCTGGGGAGTATAGCCTGAGTTCGGGTCCCCCAGCTCATCCCATTCCATACAATCCAAGAACTCGGGACGGAGACATGGACCAGTTCCTGGAAAAAGGAGTCAGAACCTGGCTGTCCACATTCCCGCCTGGAAGGTCTTCAGCTAGAAGAAGATACCTGGATCTGCCCTTGGCATTCCGGGTAGCCGGGTTCAGGCCCAGTGTTTCCCCTTTTCAGAAGTAGCAGGGTGATGTGGTTCTTTTCTGCCTGTGTATTTTTCAACGTGTTTCTGCTTTGGCCTTTGCAGAGCTTTCTACCTGTCTCTCTTCAAACACATGATCTTCCTGGAGAAGAGAGGCTGTCCCCGTACAGCCCTGGAGTTCTGCAAACTTATCCTGAGGTAAAGAGCGGTGCTGGGCCCTTCTAGTTTGGGCTCCCTTCGGAGGAGTGTGTGCAGAATCCGTACAGCATCCCGGTTGGGCTGGCGCTGAGATTTCTGGTTGCCCATAGAGTGCAGGCTCTGAACACCACACGGGCCTTGTCTGCACCAGGCTTGGCAAAATTTCCCACCATTGCAAGTCCATCATTGCCCAAAGGCCCTGGTGTAGATGTAGCCTGAGCGGTTCCTTGGGGGCAGGTATTGGGCAGAAAGGAATTTCTCCTGCCTCACTGCTCTGCTGCTGCTTTTGACAAGTTGGAGGGATGCTGGGTAGCCCAGGCATGGCCATGGAGTTCAGTGCAGGCCTTGGCTGACGTTCCGCCCGGTGGTCTGGCTGATCAGATCAAGATAGAGCCTTGCACACCAGGACCTGTCTTCCCAATGGGCTACACCTGTAATGATGAGTCTGACTACAGTCTGCTCTGACTGCGTGCTCGGCCTCCTGGCCGTTAGCAGTGGGGTTCCACGGTGGTGCGCATCACCCCTATGCTGTGCGCTGGGCGTTGCAAGGTCCAGGAACCAGAGATCAGTGTTGGGTCTGACAGCAGACTCTGCCGGCTGCCTGGGCTGTCTCCGGGCTCTGTGGGACAATCGGCACACTTGGCTATTCCATAGCTTCTGACGCCAGAAGGGACCTGTGTGATTGTTTAGGGCAGCTGACCTGCATAACAGGGCATAGAATTTCCCTGAATTACTTCCTGCTTCAGGTGCAATAGCTGGGATTGAACTAGTTCAGTGTTTCTCAACCTTTTTGATACCAGGGACCAGCTTGCTGCCTTCCTAAAGTGTCACGGGAGATCTCAGGACTGGGGCTGGTCCACGGACCGATCGTTGAGAAACACTGAGCTAGAGCAGAACAGTTTACACCTCACCTTCAGCATTGACAGGAAAATTGTGCTCTGTACCTGTACTTTTCTCTGCAGATGGCTTGGACTCTCTTTTGGGCAGGCTTCTGCTCTGTCCCCTCTAGGCCCATAGACTTGTTCTGTATCTGCCTGGTCCTGTGCTTCCTAGCCCTGGCTAGACGCTGCCTTGTCTGAGTGGCCTTATTGTCCTGCCACATGGCAGTGATTGTGCTTCCCTCATCGGTGCCATCCCATGAACTGTGACCAGTTTGTGGGGCTGGCAGGTTGAGTCTTAAGCCAGCAGTCCGGTCTGATTTTGAGTGAGTAACTCTATCATGAGCTTTTGTAATGCTGCTCCTCTGGTTCATCCCCTCCCCCTCTCCTAGCCTTGATCCGGAGAATGACCCACTGTGTGTGCTGCTGCTTATTGATTTGCTGTCGCTCCGAGCTAGAGAATACGCCTTCCTGACACGCATGTTCCAAGAGTGGGAGGTGAGTTGGCAGCCGGCTCCCCTGGCAGGAGGTGAGCGGGAACTGGACAAGAGCAGATTCCTGGGGCTCCACACCCTTCAGTGACCTGTCTCTGCGAGTGCTGGGCTGAGAAGGGAGGGCAGCTGCACCATAGGGGACGAGGGCCAGGCCGCTTGTACCAGAACTGCAGACACTGACTGGAATGTACCCTAAGATACCAGACTTGGCTCTCTTGAACCAGGGGTTCCGAGTGCTGTATAAGCAATAGTGTGAGTTTGGTATCACTTTGTCCATTGTACAGATGTGCACACTGAGGCACAGAATGGGAAGTAATTCTCCAGAGGTCGTGCAATGAGAGGTGGTACCCCCAGGAGTGTAACCGAGCAGTCTTGAGACTAGCACCAATGTTACCATTGCCTGGGAAATCTTTCTTTCATCTGCAGGGTCACCGAAACTTGTCCCAGCTCCCAAACTTTGCCTTCTCGGTTCCGCTGGCGTATTTCCTTCTGAGCCAGCAGGAAGAGCTCTCGGAAGTGGAGCTAAGCCAGGCACGGGAGAGAGCTGCCCACCTTCTCCAGCATGCGCTGATCATGTTCCCGAGCGGTAAGTGTGGTGGCAAACAGCCCCAGAATGTCTGGTTGAGGATTTATGCACACAAACAACGGCCAAACTCTCAGTGACTGAAGACAGACATATTATTCCTGTAATGGAGCAGATGGCCCTGCCCCTTCTCAGTACAGAGACGTGGCTCTCAGGCACTAGGTCCCAAGATGCAGTGCAGCACAGTCCCTCAGGTCAAGGTGGAGTGTTCCATGTTCGGTCTTTAATCTGTGCAAGTGTTGATTCCCAGCTGATGGTGAACGTGGCCTTATGCCCCATGCATCAGATGGCAGTGGGGCTATAGAAAAGACTGTAGAACTTTATGGGCAATATTTGGTGCCCTCAGCCTTCAGTATGTTAGAAAGGGATCAGTAACTGTCCGTGTCTTCTCCCTCCCTCTGCTATTCCCCTCCTAGCTTGCACCGCACTCGGTGCCTCTCCCCCATGTATAAATATACACATCACATGTGCACAGGTTGGGGGCAGGAGCACAGATTCTGTGTCATCACAGGAAGATGCTTTGGTCCAGATTTACTGTCTGTTCCCTCCGAGGCACCATTACACTTTAGATGCTCTGTTTGTGACTCCTATCACATCCACTTTCATCCATCCATCCACTTTCTTCTGTTCCAGAGAGGAGCCATGTAGCGCCTCTGGGCCAGGAGGGGACATAGATTGCCAGAACTGATTTGCCTTTGCAGGCAGGAATATGCATCTCTCCCTGAACAAAGGGGTTCAGTTTGTGTTGACTCTTGACATAACCCATCCTTTCTGCTGCTGGTCATGAGGATGAAAATAAAACCTGTATTCAAGTTCAAAGGCAGTGTTAATGTCACGACATTGTACCTTATTCCTTTTGGCATTTCATTAAATGCTTATGCAAAGCTCTGGACAGTGATTTAAAAAAACACAACTTGAAACATTTTGTGTAGCAGATGTAGCATCACGTAGATGTAGCTATGTGAACAAAGGTCCAGTTTCTGCTGTCTGCTAAATATAATAAAATGTGCAACAGAGTCTTCAGCCATAAATTTGGAAGTTGTCCTCTTCCTATGTGTCTGGTGCTTGAGGCCTTGTCTACACTTACCAGGGGATGAACTCCTGGTGATCGATGCATCAGTGGTCGATTTAGTGGATCTAGTGAAGACCTTCTAAATCGACCGCAGATCGCTCTGCCGTGGACTCCGGTACTCCACTGGAATGAGGAGCGCAAGGGGAGTCGACAGGAGACGCTCTTTCGTCGACATCGCGTAGCGTGGACCCCGCGGTGAGCAGATCTAAGTATGTCGACTTGAGTTACGCTACTAACGTAACTCAAATTGCATAGCTTAGATCGGCTTTCCCCTGTAGAGCAGACATGGCCTGATTCTAGAAAAGCACCTGCTCTCCCCAGCTGGCCTTTGTCCCAGTTCTAGGAGCTCTTTGCAGCCGCTGGCACTGGGGACCTGGTAGGTCTGGCAGTCCCTGTCTGTGGTGTGCTGAAGGTGGATGCTGATTTTCTCTTGCAGTTCTTATGCCGTTGCTGGATCGCTGTAGCGTGCAGCCAGACTCCAGGGTTGCTTCACATTCTGTTTTTGGACTCCAAGCTCAGATAAGGTAAGAACTGCCCAAGCTTTTCAACGGAAGGAATCAAAGCTTCGCCTTGCACTGCTGGCGGGTTTCTCAGCTCGTTCTGCAGTCTGCATTTCCAGGAACTGAGGAGAGGAGTAACTGCTTGTCCCAGCAGGGAGTGGGAGAGGGAGAGAGGGCTGTTTGCTCATGGGAGGCACTTGGGTAGCAGGCTGATGGGGACCCATAGGAGAACCCAGATAGATAATGCCCAGTAAAAACCCCCAGCTTAATATAGGTAGGCCATAGGTTCATCTTGGGCCTTGCAAGTGTCTGTGCATGTGACCTGGGCAGGCTGTCTCCTCCGGGTGCTTGTCTGGCTCTGGGGCTTCTGTGCCCTGTGGTCATCTCACTGCCTGGATCTCAGGGAAAGGTGGGGCGCTTTCTCATCCTCTCCCTGTCGGGGCTGTTTTGGGAACAGCACTCCGTCGTTCGAGACACAGTAAGCTGGTGGAGGCTGGTGCAAATAGGAAACACAGGAGATTGCAGCTCATTGTTCAGTGTGAGAATCTGAGACAGGTCTCCGGGTGGGCTGGGGTGAGCAGTGCCTGCTGTGTTATAACACTCTGTGTCCCACAGCCAGCCTCCTGCCTTGAACCAGCTGGTCTCCCTGTACGTAGGAAGGACTCACGCCCTGTGGAAGGACCCTGCCATCATGGCCTGGCTGGAAACCAGTGTTCATGAAGTATTACGGAGGGTGGACACGAGTGATCCAGTGGTGGAGGAGTTTGCGCAGAAGTGAGTACGGTTGGCTGAGGCCGAGCGCTCTTCCGTACCAGATAACCTAGAACCTTAGACCTTCAAGATGGAGGCACTGAAATACTCTGATGAGGGGGGATCTAGATTTAGATAAAAGAGCCTTGTTGGTCTTGGACCCTATCCCAGGCCCAGAGTGCTGCGTGCAGTCTGGCATGTAGAACCTCACTGCACAAGCAGTCTAGATCTAACCACGCCAGTGATAAGGTGCTGGAGGTGCTGTTCCCTGTGCCCCTTGGAACTTGCCTCTTAGCTGTGGAGGAGTTCTGTGCCAAACTGCCGATAGCACCTTGGTGTCCCAGGCCTTTGAGCCCTGAGCTGCACTGAGGCTTCGAACTTCCTTCAGCTTGTCCTTTAGAGGGTGTAAAGGCTGGGTCCTGTCCCCTCAGGGTGGACTGGGGGGAACCCCCAAAAGTAGCCAGGACCAGCAGTATCTGAACGGCCAAGTACTAGACCAGAGGTGGCCAAACTGTGGTTCACAAATCACAGGTGGCTCTTTTACCATTAAAGTGCAGCTCACCGAGCCCTCCCAACCCCTTTATTCTCCACCTACTGGTTGTGGGAAGCTCAGGACCTCTGCCTTGCAGCAGGGTGGTGCGGTAGGGGCTTTTGCCCAGTGGGGCGCACCTGCCAAGGCTCGGGGCAGCAGGTGTGCCCTGGCTTTCGAACTTCTGAAGATTGTCATATGTAGCTCAGAGGGCCAGTAAGTTTGGCCACCCCTGCACTAGACAGTGTGCTTTTGTTCTAATATGATTGTCTCTGGATAGCAGACAACAACTCCCAGCTGCTCCTGAGACCTAGCTTAGCTGGGCAAGGGCCACCTGAGTCTGGGCAGCCAAGGAGGCTGCCAGTCTGGGTTCAGACATGTCCTCCTCCACCTCTTCCCCTTTCACTGACCCCAGCACCCATGCCTTGGTCTCATGGCTTCTCTCTCCCTCGCAGCTGCAATTCCTGCTTTCCTGCAGCAGTTTCAGGCTAGATTGTGCCTTGTTTGCAGAATGAGCAGGACTTACCTTGTCCCTCATCTTTCTCGACAGTGAGACTGAGCTACTGGCGTCGATGAGCCCAGTGCTGTCAGGCTACTCTTGTACCGTGTATGCAGTGCACGAGTGAGCTACCCAGCGTCATTACAAATTACAGCATGCATGCCACCAAATAGCTCATTTCTCTGTCCCATCGGGGTTCCCTGGGCTGCTTCCCAGCGATCACATACCACTACGGGTTAAAGCACCTTACCAAAGAGGAAATCTTCCCGCCTCCAGTTAGGGTAGCACGTGTTACGGAGCCATAAACCCTTGGAGCTGTACAGATGTTTGTCTAGACCCCGGTGTCCCTGCATTGGCCTGTAGGCAACTGTGTGGCGTCGCTGATGGCTGTACATCTTGTTGGACAAACAAAGGCTGCATTGGACTGGTGTTACTAAACATGTTGATTACAGTGGTGCCTATGGCCAACTAAGAAAGGGGCCCCATTGTCCAAGATGCTAGACAAACACTGGAGCAACCAGTCCCTGCTCAGACAGACTGGGGGGTGGAAAGGGGTATGTGCAGGCAGAGTGAGCAGTCGATGGCCTCTAGGATCCCTGATTTTTGTGGGGTTACTTAGAGGGGTCAACTGAAGGGAAAGAGAAGTGAAGGTAGAGGGGAACACCGCCTGGGTCCTAGTGCCCTCCAGGGTTAGCAGGGGTGGGGCCTCCTCTGCTGTTCTGGGTCTGGGGGAGGGATGGCCCCATTTTATGCTCTTGCCAAGTAGCTTCTGCAGGTGCTTCCCCTGGTGGGAGAAGCTTTGGTGCCAGGAAGGTGAAGTCTTAGTGAGATAGGGGCCAGCGTGGAGGTGAACTGAGAGTCAGGGGTTCTCAAACTTCATTGCACTGTGACAACAAAAATTACTGTATGACCCCAGGACGGGGAGCCAAAGCCTGAGCCAGCCCAAGCCCTGATGCCCCTGTTGGGGGACTAAAGCCCAAGCCCCACCACTCTGGGCAGGGTGACCAAAGCCCAAGGGCTTCAGCCCCAAGCTGGGGGCCTGTGACCTGAGCCCCACTGCCCAGGGCTGAAGTCCTTGGGCTTTGGCCCCGAGCCTCAGCAAGTCTAAGCCAGCCCTGGCGACCCCATTAAAATGGGGTCCCAACCCACAGTTTGAGAATCGCTATATCTGTGGCTCAGTAGAAGGTCCCATTCTTTGCTTTCCTTGCTCTGACTCTCACCTGGCTGTCACCAGGGCCTTGGAATGAACCTGAGAAGCAGATGGATTTCCTGCTAGCAAAGACTGTGTGTGTAGGCCGCTCCCTCCTTGGCAGAGAGTGACCAGGCCAGCTGGGGGGAGCTCTGACCTTGTCACACTGCTGAGGGCAGGGATGTGCTCATCATAGGCTGACTTGTGAGGCAGAGACGGGCAAGGTGTGGGTAGGGTGAGCACTTTGAAGTAGGGATTGGAATGCAGCGGGGGGTGAGGGGTGGGACTGTTGGGGCATCTCAGCAGCGTTCCTTTGAGGCCGCTTGGCTCCCTTGGTCTGGTGGGCTTGCTGGAGAGCACCACCCAGGTGGTATCTGAGCGTATGGCCGCTCTCACCGGGACCGGTGCAGCCACTGAATGCCAGGCGAGGGAGGGTCTGATGAGCACGGCACATCCCGTAGGAGGGTGGGATGAAGCTGACGCTGCCACCAGGGAATGCAAACCCTGTCAGTGCCGTAGTGCATTGTGGTGTGTGTCAGTGACGCCCTTCCCTGTCCGCCCTTAGGCGCAAGGTGCGGTACCAGAGCGCCCCCAGAAACATCTCTCGCCATGTGATTCTCTCGGAGCTGAAAGAAGCCACGGCAGCACTGCCCCTGGTGAGTAAAAATGGGGCATTGTGTCCTCAGTGTCACGCGTGCGTCATGGCCCCCCAGGTGCTCCCTTTGTGCCCCCCGGCCATATCAAACCAAGCCCAGTGGGGCTCTTCAACGGAGACATTGGTCTCCTATACGTCTCTGCCTGTCCCATTGCTCCAGAGCAGGCTTCGCTCTCTGTGGAGCACCCACAGAGAACCCCTCCTCCGGTAGCTGGGCGTTCTGGGCCAGGCCAAGTGCTGCAGCAGGCAAGGGGGAAGCCAAGCCAAAAATAGGTCCCAGGCTTAATAGTGTCACAAAGAAATAGCCTCGGCCCATTGCACCAAGGCATTGCCGTGTGTATTCCCTGAGCGCCTCGCCCCAGGGGTGGGCATAGGGGTGTGCTGCAAGTGTTTGATTGTGGGGGTACCCAGACTTGTCCTGCTATGCTAGGGCAACTGGGGCCATGACACGGCTGCTGTGATTGTCTTAATGCTACATGGGACTATGTGCCCGGGAGGACTTATTGTCCTAGGTCAGTTGTGTGTCTTCTCTGCCCATGCCAGGTGACATGGTTGCTCCATTAGACAGGAGGCATGAGAAGTTAGCAGTGTTTTGACAGGGGTCTGATTTTTGTCCCTCGTTTTGAAGGAAGTGACATCCCAGCCCGTAATGGGGTTTGACCCCCTGCCTCCCTTGGACTCCATCACTTCCTATACAAGACCAGAAAGGTATTTCTCCACTTCGGATTCATGTCTTTCTGCATAGCTCAGCTGTTTGCTTTAATAAGTGCCCAGGCACACAGCGGCGTGGACGCTAATGAAATCGTGGCTTGGAGTAAAATCTTCCTCCATCTGAGAACAGTAGAACCATTAGTTTGACTTACAGTGCTCAATGAAGGGTATGAACCATACAGACAGGGGTTGTGTCCTGCCACTTTTGTGGGGTGGTAGCTGTCTGTGGGTCACCATCTGAGACAGTCCGCAGAGGCCACTCAGTATTAGCACTGCTTCAAAATGTCACTTCGCATCAATCTCTCTGAATGAGGCAGGGATCCCTCCAGGTGGGGTTTGGGATAGACGCCATGAGGGCAGGCTGTTTTGTATCGAAGCTGCTCTGTTGAGTGTCATGCACATTGCAAAGGTGTGCAGAAATCTGACCGCAGCCTGCATCCCTGTGGAAGTGCTCCTGCCTCAAGTAGAGACTCACTAAACTGGGGGTGGTAGAATCCAAAGAAAAGTGAATCTCAGCATTTTGTTTCAGGTAATCCTACCCCAACCTGGCACCGGGCTTATGCAAAGCTATGCATTGCTAGAGAACAAAGTGAGATTGTACAGGAGCTGGGGGTCTTCGTGCAAAGCTGGGATGAGTGTGGGAGAGTCAAATACAAATGTCCTTTGTTTCACTGAATGGGATTGTTTGGGTTTTTCTCTTCCAGGACAAATCATCCATCCAACGAAAGCACTTTATCTCTCTTTTTTCGATCATTGTTGCCAAATTTTACCTTACAGGTATGTTAAATGAACCTATAGCACATGTGTACTAGCATGTGTGTGGAATTCCACACTGAACCTTCCTACACAGCGTAGTATTGTGCATGCAAGCAACCCATTGCACCGTTAGCTGGAGGCTACGTGTGTAACTACCACTGTTAAACACACACTTTCAAAATGTCATTCAGTCTTCGTTCTCAAATACGAACACGGAGAGGATTTTGACCTGGGAAGGGGCCTGTCTTCCTCAGTTGCAAAAAGCCTTTTCATCCAGTGTATCCTGGAACATCTACATTTAATGTCTTGTGTCAGTCAATGAAATCCGAAGGCAGCAGTTCGGGTTCTCGCCCTTTGTAAGGTCTGTTTGCATGCAGAACGTGTGTGGGAATCTTCCTTTCCTTCAGTGTGTTCGAGCCTTCTCATCCCTGCAGCTGGTGAAGGGAGTATTCTGAAGAGCATAAGTTAAAGACAGGCTGCTTCCATTCTCCAGGAGAGCTGGGAGGTCAAATCACGAGTGAGGAAGTACCACCGCAGCAGTCATATTAGCAGTGTAACTACCCTCTAATCCGAGAAACAAGGAGGCCGAGTCACGGTTCATGTTGAAATTTTGACTGCAAGCTGCACTAATTCTGTAGAATTGGTTGGGTTTTTGAAGCAGAATTCAGAACTGCACAGCTTCTAGATCTCACCGCTGTGCTGGCGGAGCTTGTGAATAGCTGTAACTAGCTTCTTGCGTAAGGACGCTGCATCCTGATTTTAGTGCTGAGCTTGTGACAAAACGTAACTGCCCGCTCGCTCCTGTGTTTTCCAGTGCTTTTTAGATTAAAAACCAGCAGAGACCAGTCTTGGTGGTAACTATTCATAGGCCAGGCTGGGTGTTTGAGATCCACCATATCAATTAGCCCCCCATAGTTGGGGGAAGACAACAGCTCCCTTTCTGAAGCTGAACTGTGCTTTAACCACCATGTAATTAAACCAGCTGAAGGAATTCTGCACCATGGTTTGAAGTGAGTTTATAATAACTGAGTGTGGAAGTGAGTTTATAATAACTGTTTTTGCTCCCTTAACTGTAGCAGTTGCTGTAATACCTTGTGACTTCACAGCACGTCCTCAGTGCTTCACAACCATTAGAGAGCAAACTTCACAACAGTTGTCCTCCCTCTTGCTCAGATGAGGCACAGAAAGGGGACATGACTGTCCTTCAGAAATAGAAATCACATCTCCTGACTCTCAGGCTTGTGCTTTGACCGTGCTTGCTTTCCCTAAGTGGTCTAAAATTCTGACACTCTCTTCCTCAAAAGCTGCTCAGGGCGCAAGTGCTTTGAGGCAGAACTGAAATGACTGACTCATAGTGCAAGTCATTCATTGATCTTATACCCTAGGGCAGCCTGAAATCTGAATGCCCTGATTCTTCTGGGTTTAAAGGCCAAGCCATTTTGAGCAGTTCAGCGCTGGGGGCTCTCAATCTCCCTGTTCTCACTACGTGCCTTGCGCTGTGTTGCAGGGGGAGGTCAGACAAGATGGAGATGAAGAGGCTGGAGCTGGCCAGGATCTAAACCAGGGTGTGAACAGGCTAATGGCAGCCATGCGGGACATGCTGGCGAATATCCAGTTCCAGGAGCCTCCGCGAGACGAAAATCCCGACGGAGATGCGGACTGGGATTGAAACCAGACCAAGCCCTTTACCCACACAGTGCTATGTAATTATGTTCCTGATTTGTGGTGCAATGTAATAAAGTCACACAGAGCAGAGAGGCCGGGTCCTTGACGTTCCCTGCTGCTTTGTCCGTGGGAAATGGGCCCAGTTTTTTTCTGGATTTAAAAAGCCCTTTTTAGTCTCTCCATAACTTCCAGCCTGCTGGAGCTGGAGTCCTCTCAGGACACTGCTTTGGAGGGGCGAACCCCGAGTCCAAACTGCTGCTGTCCCCTCCCTCCTGCCCGCCTTCCATGCCACACACAGGCCTTAATGAGTAAGATTCCCCTTGACCCTCGATTGCTACCGCCCTCTTCCACAGCTGGCAAGTGGTCCAGGGTGACGACTGGCCCCACGCTACCTCTTCTCTGCCCCCACCGCGGGCATTGCGTGAGGAGGAGCCAGCTGCACCGCGCTGCTCTAGGCTAGTGCGTCGGCAGGGCCAAGAGTCGCTCCCTCTGCAGCCAGAAGGTGTCAGCGTGGGTGCAGCTGGGGAGCCAGCTCACAAAGCTCGATCTCGCAGAGCAGGGCCTCGTGGCGTTGATGGGAGCCACTCCAGCTCCTTCGCCCTTCTGGGGACAGCCCCATGGCACAGGCTGGCCCTAGTGCTGCTTTCCCAGAAGCAGAAGCCATGGTGGCTGTGCGTGCTGCCTGCCTCAATTCACATGGCTTGGGAGGAAGGGGGCCTGCTTTTCATCCTGTCCTTTAGCTCCTGTGCATGACGTTAAAGTGGGTCAGGGCACAGCACTGTGGAATGGAGTGCAGGGAGGAAGCGTAGACTGCCCCATGAGGGGAGAGATGCAGGATGCCCAGTCGTGGCCATCTGACCCTGGGGGTATGGAAAAGACGCCTTCCCTGTCCCCCTGCTCTGCTTTCATCTTGGTGCCGCTTCGCGCGTAGTGCCTTGGGGAGTGCAGAGCAAGCTGGGGCACGGACGACATCCAGCTAATCAGACTCATGTGAGCAGCCACTGGCCATTGGGTCGGACAGAGGGAATTAAAATTCCGCTGTAACAAAGTTAGATCTGAGGCATTTTAACTCCTGTCCTGCCGGGAGCCACGCAAAGGGTCTGGTCCTTAGACAAGTGCTGGGGCTTAGCCTCCACCCGGACTGCAGCAGCTCTGCATTTGCCTGCACTCACAGCTCCTCCACCTGCTCACCCCTGCGTGTCTCCCTGGGGGCAGCGGAACAAGCGGCCCTTAGAGGAAGGGTTATACTCAGAGATGGAGTCCTAAGGAACAGCCCAGGCCCATGGCTTCACTCCTGCCAGGCAGCTGTGTAACCTGGAGTTTTAAACCTTCCCACTTCGCATTAAATCATTAAAGCTAAGGAGGCAATGAACCAAATTTCGTTCTCTGCTGTGCGCCTCTCGGTCAGTTCCAGGCACTTTGATTTAGTCGAGGGCCTGGATGGCCCTTTGAATTACAGAACCAACCTCTATTTGAGAGAATTTCAGAGTAGCAGCCGTGTTAGTCTGTATCCGCAAAAAGAAAAGGAGGACTTGTGGCACTAGAGACTAACAAATGTATTTAAGCATAAGCTTTCATGAGCTACAGCTCACTTCATCGGATGCATGCAGTGGAAAATACAGTGAGGAGATTTATATACACAGAGAATATGAAACAATGGCTGTTACCATATACCCTGTAACAAGAGTGATCAGGTAAGGTGAGCTATTACCAGCAGGAGGGGGGGAAACCTTTTGTAGTGATAATCAAGGTGGACCATTTCCAGCTGTTGACAAGAACCTGTGAGGAACAGTGGGGGGGCGGGGAATAAACCTGGGGAAATAGTTAGTTATACTTTGTGTAATGACCCATCCACTCCCAGTCTCTATTCAAGCCTAAGTTAATTGTATCCAGTTCAGCAGTCTCTCCTTGGAGTCTGTTTTTGAAGTTTTTTTTGTTGAAGAATTGCCACTTTTAGGTCTGTAATCACGTGATCAGAGAGATTGAAGTGTTCTCTGACTGGTTTTTGAATGTTATAATTCTTGACGTCTGATTTGTGTCCATTTATTCTTTTACGTAGAGACTGTCCAGTTTGGCCAATGTGCATGGCAGAGGAAGTGATCAGTTGGGCAAACAGGCGTCCCATGACCATTTACACAGGTCCCTGTGTTATACTCGCGGTCCAAGACGGAATGGTGTATCGATGGGCTGGTAGGCACCAGAATGAAGTGCAGCTTCAGGAGGCTGTCCCACCAAAGGCACCACTATGGTCCTAAGACCTCCCTCAAGGCAGCCTTTTATAGCCATCCTAATATGAACTAAGCTTGAACTGACCTATTCCCATCTCTTCGTTGGCTCTTTACGTTCTGTGCTATTTAATACAGCCATTCCAGTGTCCTTCCCCTGCTACTGACACAGAGCATCTTAGTCAAACTTCCCAAATTCTCTCTCTGACATTGAAAACCCTGCTGGAACCAGTTATAACCTGTTCCTGGCCTTGCTAACTTCAATTCCCATCTTATCTCGAACTCTAGCTCACACTAACAAACTCCATTTCCCATACTCCTCTGGGCTTGGCCTAGCCAAATGCCTCTTACAGGCTCCAGGGGATGTGGACATGGTTTCCTCAGGGCTGGAGGTGAGGCAGGGCTCGCACTGTGCTGCTCAGCTTAACAGGCTCTGCTGGTGTGGTGGCCCATAATTGCCCTACTTAGAGAAGGGAAAGGCCCATTATTCCCACCTCTGGGGGTTGGGGGATCCCCTGCCTGCACACACTTGGGTTTGGCCCCATTTCCTGATTCCTTTCCAGGGGGCCCCTGCTTGCCTCCAGCAGAGCGCCCGTGCTGGGAAGTGTTCACTGTGGCTACATGTAGCACTGCAAGGCAGAGCAGTAGGTCTTGTTCTGCCAAGTGGCTCTTGCAGGGAGCCTGAAGATGTGCGCTGCCTCCTCCGTGTCTCGCAGCAGACGCTGTAGCTGCAGACGGTCCTTCCGTTCAGTAGCAGACTGAGGCCATTTATAGCCATGCTCTCAAAAGCCCCATTGAGAAAGCTGAGGATATTATTGCGGCGTATCACCGTGCTGGCTAGAGTCAAGAAAGCTGCTGCCAGCGGGAGGGGAATGTGCTTCTCCCTTAGCTTCAGTTCTTTCTCCATTTCCCTGCCTCTCCCTGACTCACCCTAGGTTCTGTTCCTCATCATAGATCAGGGTTGGAAGGGACCTCAGGAGGCCATCTAGTCCAACCCCCTGCTCAAAGCAGGACCTAATCCCCAACTAAATCATCCCAGCCAGGGCTTTGTCAAGCCTGACCTTAAAAACCTCAAAGAAGGAGATTCCACCACCTCCCTAGGTAACCCATTCCAGTGCTTCACCACCCTCCTAGTGAAATAGTGTTTCCAAATATCCAACCTAAACCTCCCCCACTGCAACTTGAGACCATTGCTCCTTGTTTGTCATCTGGTAGCACTGAGAACAGCTGAGCTCCATCCTCTTTGGAACCTCCCTTCAGGTAGTTGAAAGCAGCTATCAAATCCTCCCTCACTCTTCTCTTCTGCAGACTAAATAATCCCAGCTCCCTCAGCCTCTCCTCATAAGTCATGTGCTCCACCCCCCTAATCATTTTCTTTGCCCTCTGCTGGACTCTCTCCAATTTGTCCACATCCCTTCTGTAGTGGGGGGACCAAAACTGGACGCAATACTCCAGGCGTGGCCTCACCCGTGCCGAATAGAGAGGAATAATCACATCCCTTGATCTGCTGGCAATGCTCCTACTAATACAGCCCAATATGCCGTTGGCCTTGACAACAAGGGCACACTGCTGCCTCATATCCAGCTTCTCGTCCACTGTAACCCCTAGGTCCTTTTCTGCAGAACTGCTGCCGAGCCATTCGGTCCCTAGTCTGTAGCAGTGCATGGGATTCTTCTGTCCGAAGTGCAGGACTCTGCACTTGTCCTTGTTGAACCTCATCAGATGTCTTTTGTCTAGGTCACGCTGGACCCTATCCCTACCCTCCAGCGTATCTATGTCTCCCCCCAGCTTAGTGTCATCTGCGAACTTGCTGAGGGTACAATTCATTCCATCCTCCAGATCATTAATCCCATCACTCATGGGAAGCCCAAACCAGCCCTGACTGAGGGTGTGGGCCCCCAGAGTGCATCCCGTCTGCCCCTCCTCTCTTCAGCTCTTCCTGTGTTACCATGGCCCCGGCTGGCAGATGGGGACAGTGGCTCTTCTCTATGCAGCCAGTCCCCCAGTGGAGCTGTTGTGGGAGCTGTTCTCCCCTTGACGGGCGTATTGGCTTGGCCAGTGGCCACTGGGTGCAGCTGGGGGTGAAAATGCTTTGGACAAGGTGCTGCTGGTAGGTGGCACCTCACGGCGCATGGGGGTGGCTCTTCCTTTGCCCCGTTATGCTTACAAGAAGCATACTACTTCATCCCCCCCCGCCCTGGCGGGGACCGTGCAAGCTCTGGCTCTCCAACCCCCTTGCCCATGGAGGCTTATGCAGCCATCTTGTTCCAAAGACGCCCTCAGATGCTCCAGGCACATGGCAGCTACCAAAGGAAAGCCTGGCTGCTGCGGTGAGTCAGCAGCAGAGCTGCGCCTAGAGCAGGGGTACACACTAGGCGCCGGTCCTGCGATGCACCATGGCTGCCTGGAGCCTGCAAGCCCCCACGTGCCCAGAGAGGGCTGTCGGGAAGGAGGAGGAGGTGGACACCGCTGGGATCTGGAAACTGCAGCAGAATCAGCCTTTGGATAATATTTCAGTTACTCTGGCAGATTTGCCGCTTTGGGCATCAACAAGAACCCGAAGGCACATGACAATCAGCTGGGCCACGTCCCTCCCCTGCCCAAACACACTCGCCTTTATCCCCAGCCCTGGGAGAATCAGAGCCGCGAAAGGCCCTGTGAAATGGGAGCTCCTGCCTGGTGTGCTGGAGCAGGAAGAGCACCAAGCTGGCATGGCCACACCGAGGTGTTGGAGAGCAGGGGCAGGACTCCAGCTTCCCTGGTGGCTAGAACGGGAGGTGGGGAGAGGAGCTGGGGTGGTAGATAGGAGGCTACTGGAGCGGAGGGGTGGGGGCAGATGGAGGGCAGTGGACTAAGGGGCTGTGGGTGATGGGGTGTGGGAATGGAAACAGGAGGGCAGAGCTAGGTGGGGGGCCAGGCCAGTATTTTCATTGATGTCCTTTTCCAGCTCTCACTCTAGATGGGGTGGGCTTTAGCAAATGAAGGGCAGCAGAGAGCCTGTGTGTACTTTCTCTGCTAGGCCGTAAGCTGCTCTTGGTACTGGGGAGGGAGGCCCGGGGGTGGGCAGTATTAATGTTCCTGGAAATGACAGCATTCAGATTGTGTGTGTGTGTAACCTTAACTCTGCACCCTGGCGCGTGTGTCCCATGCCATGGATCTTAACTCCGGGAGCACATTCCCTGCCCAGGTAATGCAGCGTGATGTTTGGCTGGAGGGAGGGACTTGCTACGTGTGGCACGCAGAGCCAGCACGGAGCAGGATGGATGGTGGGGTATGGTGGCCGCTGTGGGTCAGGACTGAGAAGCATTGGGGACCCCTGTGGTAGCGGGTGTCTCATGCTGCTGCAGGGGGGCTGGAGTGCGCAGTAGCCTGGCCGAGGTTTGTGCGTGAGGACACTAGTCTTGGAGCTGAAGGCAGGGCCAAGGGTCACAGTCATGGCGCTATTGAGCCCTAACCAAACCCATGGCTGGTGCCGCTACAGTCTTCTCCCGCCTTGAGGTCCTCCAGGATTGGGTCCTTTCCTTGGAGGACGGGCGGTTGGGCTGGAGGGAGTAATGGGAAATGAGCCATTTCAGTGCTGAAGTGCTGCCTCGACCCCTGGGCTCCCCACGTGGCCTGCACTGTACTTGGAAGCTCAGACCAACCCCTGGGGCCATAGATCCCATCTCCGCCCTGCCCCTGCCAATGCCCTCACTGGGGCTGGATCATGCCCGGCCAAAGGCCTGGGTGGCTCCCCTGGCAACAGCAAGGAAAACAAGTTAGATGGCGAGGAGGAGGAGGCCGGAGGTCAGCCCCTGCAGCTTGGGCTGGCTTTGGGCAGAGGAGGGCTTTGAACACGCCACCTGGAGCAGTTCCGGTTCTTGACTTGCTGCGCGGTAGAAGGAACCCGCAGTCTGGGCACAGGGGAATGGGCAGCAGCCTTCTAGCAAATTCCTGCAGCTGGGGCCTGGCCTGGCATCCCTGCAGCTTCCCCCGCGGGTACCCAGAGCTCAGGCCTGCCCTGAGGCTGGTTCAAGCAGCAGAGGCCATGAAGAGGTGACAGGCTCATGGGCTGTAAGCCCCTATGTGGGGACAAGGGGTCAGACCCCAGTGGGCTAAAGGCAGAACACAAGGGAAATAAGGCACCAACTTGTAACAGGGAGAGAAATGAGCCCCTGGAGCGAGTGAGCGAGCTGGGGCTGCGGTGGACTCTGTCCCCTGGAGAATTGAAATGGAGGTTGGTTGTCTTTCCCCATTAGCTCAGCCAGGCGTTATTCGGTTTGAGCTGGGGGTCCAGGAAGTTCTCTGGCCTGTGTTGTGCCCACAGTCAGATGATCAGCTAGTCCCTTCTGGCCTTGCCCCCTAGGACTGTCTGTTCCCCCCGAATTCCCACTGCTGGCACCTGGCATCAGCAGCATGGTCTCCATGAGCCGGCAGCATCTATCACGGCTGCCCACATCCAGTGCTGCATATTCTCCATTCCCTTGAAGTCCCAGGGTCACGGAGTCCCCGGGTGATGCTCTGGAACTGCTCCCTGCGAAGCCAGGCAGGACGCTGGGGGAGTCTCCTCTCTGGGAGCAGACTGTCTGCAGGGCAAGAAGCTCACAAGGCTTCCACCTTCCTGGGCCTGACCTCGGAGCAGTCAGCATCCTCTGCCCCTCTGTGTGCTTCCCACAGCGAGTCCGCCCAGGCGGGGTCCTGGGGAAGCCAGAGGGTCCTGCCCCCCAACTCCGCAGTCAGATGGGACTCTCAGCCAGCCAGTAACACAGAAGGTTTATTAGACGACAGGAACATGGTCTAAAACAGAGCTTGCAGGTACAGAGAACAGGACCCCTCAGCTGGGTCCATCTTGGGGTGGGGGTGGGGGGGCTGGTAGGGAGGCCAGAGACCTATTTGCAATTCCCCAGCCAGCTTCAAACTGAAACTCTCCAGTCCCTCCTCTGGCCTTTGTCTCTTTCCCAGGCCAGGAGGTCATCTGATCTCTTTGTTCTCCAACACCTTCAGTTGGCACCTTTGCAGAGGAGGGGCCCAGGCCATCAGTTGCCAGGAGACAGGGTGTCGGCCATTCTCTGTCTAGACAGCCTCACACTGGCCCTCTAAGGCTCTGCAACAATCATGCAGCTTATCCCACCACCTAGACACCTAAGAAATGCACAGGGGAAACTGAGGCACCCACACAGCACCCAGAGAGAACATCAAGAACAGTCCCACTTTGTCATACAGGGTCCCTGGCCAGCTTCTCCATGGCATTCTCTAATACCCACAGTGCCCTGCAGCTGCTGCCTGGACTCGGGGCTCTGGTCTCTGCTGTGCCTTTCCTAGCATCACAAGGCGATTTCCATCAATGGAGACAGTGCTTGGCACCCGAAGTCAGAATGGGTGGGTGGAGAAGTGGATCTGGGGGAACCATGCATCACACTTACCCACCCTTCCCTGCGCCCCACCTGGGGGTGAGAAGCAGGCACAGTGCTCCACCACCGTGGCTCCTTTCGGTCCAGCTCATTTTTCTGCTGCTCACAACTACAATGCAAATGTTTCCGCACCTGCCAGAGGCCTCTCTCAAGGAAAGGCTTTTCCTGCTTTGTCCTGAGGCTGCTGCAGTTCAGTGCTGGGCTGATCCAAAGCTCTTCTCTCTCCGCTTGTACAGGGGCAAGACATTTCTTGCTACTGAGCCAGCCAGGCTGGGAAGGTCGTCACGGGAAAGCTCAAGAGCTGTGGATTCAAAAGTGAGGTTGGTGCCCAAATGGTCCAAGAGATGGGACCTGTGGGTGCTTCGCAGGACGGCCTTTGCACCGTTTCTCCAGATTCCTTTACAGACCTCGCCGGCACGACTTGCTGAGGCAGTTCAAGGTTGGTCTCCTTGGTCCCTTTAATGAATCCCACCTGCCTTTTGTTAGGGTGCATGGATGGAGCTGGTAAGAACATAGGAATGGCTCTACTGGGTCAGACCAAAGGTCCATTGGGCCCAGCAACCTGTCTTCCAACAGTGGCCAGTGCCAGGTGCCCCAGAGGGAGTGAAAGGACAGAGAATCATCAAGCAATCCATCCCCTGTCGCCCATTCCCCGCTTTTGTCAGTCAGAGGTTTAGGGACACCCAGAGCATGGGACTGTGTCCCTGCCCAGCCTGGCTAATAGCCATCGATGAACCTGTCCTCCGGAAACTGAGCTGGTTCTTTTTTTGAGCCCAGTTGTGTTTTTGGCCTCCACAACACCCCCAGCAACGAGTCCCACAGGCGGACTGTGCGTTGTGCGAAGTGCTGCCTTTGGCCAAACCACTGCCTCTTAATGGCACTGGGTGACCCTGGGTTCAGGTGTGAAGTGAAGGGGTAAATAACTTCTCGGCGCGTGACTGTCTAGCCCTGCCTGGGGGGCTCCGCAGCACCACAGGTGTGCCCTGCCAGTGCGCACGGAGATGCTGGGCTGGAAAGCGGAAGGGCCGGGGTGGGCCGTGCTGTGAACGTGAGTCACACATCAACACAGCACGGGGCTGAGTGAGTATCCGTGCTCGTGCTGGGCCTTGGCTGAACCCCCGACCCAACACCTCACTGGGGAGCTTGGGGCAGTCAATCAGCTTTTTACAGACACTGCTTACCTCTGCGGCAGGGGGCCGGGGGCAGATGGGTCTAACCAGCCCTGACCGCCGCAGAGCAAAGCCTTGTTGCCAGGTGCCCTGACTTCTGAGCAGCCAACAGACAGATTGCCCTGGGCACGACTCCGCTGACATTGGCAGGAAGGAATCTGGCCCATCGGCTTTTCCAGCATCTGTTCTGCAGTACAGAATGCACTTGTGCCTCCAGGGAAAGAAAGTATCCATGTGAACAGAGATGGGGCTGTCTGCAGCGAGCGGCCCCGGAGGACAGCGCCCGCATGGTACCCGCCGGGTGTCTGCAGCGAGAGGCCCCGGAGGACAGCGCCCGCGTGGTACCCGCCGGGTGTCTGCAGCGAGCGGCCCCGGGGGAGAGAGCCCGCGTGGTACCCGCCGGGTGTCTGCAGCGAGCGGCCCCGGAGGACAGCGCCCGCGTGGTACCCGCCGGGTGTCTGCAGCGAGAGGCCCCGGAGGACAGCGCCCGCGTGGTACCCGCCGGGTGTCTGCAGCGAGCGGTCCCGGAGGGACAGCGCCCGCGTGGTACCCGCCGGGTGTCTGCAGCGGAGGACAGCGCCCGCGTGGCGGTGTCTGCAGCGAGCGGCCCCGGGGGAGAGCGCCCGCGTGGTACCCGCCGGGTGTCTGCAGCGAGAGGCCCCGGGGGACAGCGCCCGCGTGGTACCCGCCGGGTGTCTGCAGCGAGAGGTCCCGGGGGACAGCGCCCGCGTGGTACCCGCCGGGTGTCTGCAGCGAGAGGCCCCAGAGGACAGCGCCCGCGTGGTACCCGCCGGGTGTCTGCAGCAAGAGGTCCCGGAGCAGAGCGCCCGCGTGGTACCCACCAGGTGTCTGCAGCGAGAGGCCCCGGGGGAGAGCGCCCGCGTGGTACCCGCCGGGTGTCTGCAGCGAGAGGCCCCGGAGGACAGCGCCCGCGTGGTACCCGCCGGGTGTCTGCAGCGAGAGGCCCCGGAGGAGAGCGCCCGCGTGGTACCCGCCGGGTGTCTGCAGCGAGAGGCCCCGGAGGACAGCGCCCGCGTGGTACCCGCCGGGTGTCTGCAGCGAGAGGCCCCGGAGGACAGCGCCCGCGTGGTACCCGCCGGGTGTCTGCAGCGAGAGGTCCCGGGGGAGAGCGCCCGCGTGGTACCCGCCGGGTGTCTGCAGCGAGAGGCCCCGGGGGACAGCGCCCGCGTGGTACCCGCCGGGTGTCTGCAGCGAGCGGCCCCGGGGGAGAGCGCCCGCATGGTACCCGCCGGGTGTCTGCAGCGAGAGGCCCCGGAGGACAGCGCCCGCGTGGTACCCGCCGGGTGTCTGCAGCGAGCGGCCCCGGAGGACAGCGCCCGCGTGGTACCCACCAGCAGCCATTGGACATGAACAGTGGCACAGCCAGAAGGCCATTTCCAGCTGTTATACCCACCACCTGCCCATGGTGGAAATCCCCTTGGCAAGTGCCAGCACTTTGTCGTCAGCCCCCTTGCTGGGGTCCGCACCTGTGGGGCTGGGGCCCAGGCCCTGCACCACCAGGCTTGATGAAGGGGGTACAATTATGCAGGCTCTCAGGGATGTTTCATAACCCCTCCTGTAGCTGCCCTTCAGCACGCTTCTTGCATGCAATGCTGTCATGTGGCTGATCACCCTCCTTTGAAGGAGGAGCTGAGCAAACTGCCTTTAAAGTCGGGAAGAGAAAGGGTTCTTTCTTTGTCCTGCACTCCAGCTAATCGATTACATCGGGCTAGGGATAAATACAGCGGCTGGGCTAGGAAGTGGAGTTGGGGAGAGTTTGGAAGTGGGAAAGGGCTGAGGCACCAAAGGAGCTCTCCCCCTGTTCCAGTCGGGGACGCAGAGAGCAAGGGATCTGCACCCCGAACACAAAGGCGCACAGAACGCAAGCACACTTCTCCAGCTCCTCACGTGGCTGTGTCCAGAGCCCCGGACGCCCCTGGGATCCAGTACATGAACGTGGACGAGCATTTCACCCTCCTAGTCCTGCAGGTGCTTCTCTGGCTTCTTCCTTTTCTGAAGACAGCAAGTGTCGGTGACGAGGAGCTGGTCTCGGAGGCAGGTTGAAATTCCTCAGCCCAGGGCATCTCCCTCCAGCCTTGGGGGTGCCCCATGGACCTGCCCTGTGTGTGTTCCCTCTGCTGAAGTCCCACCACTGTCTGCTCTGAGTATCTTCTGCCCTCCGATGCACAGAGACTGTAAACACCACTTTCCAGGTTGCTGCACTGGGGAGAGTTGTTCTCCCAAGACTTGTTCCTTGAACGCTCCAAGGGAGCAGAAACACTTGGCTTTGGTCTTGCCAGAGCCACGACGCCTGCTCCTGCCCGTGTTTGCCAGCAGCAAAACCTTCCTGAGGGCCCCCCCGAAGCTGTCGCTATGTCAACGCTGGCTTCTCTGCAGATGCTGATCGACTCCCTGAACTCCACTGCCCCCAGCAACAGGACCAACAAGACGGCCAACAGGAGCAGCGCCTGGTGCCAGGGTGTCTTCATCCCCAACGAGCTCTTCCTGACGCTGGGCCTCGTCAGCCTGGTGGAGAACGTGCTGGTGGTCGTGGCCATCATTAAGAACAGGAACCTGCACTCACCCATGCACTACTTCATCTGCTGCCTGGCCGTGTCCGACATCCTGGTGAGCGTCAGCAACCTGGTGGAGACCTTGTTCATGCTGCTGATGGAACACGGAATGCTGCTCCTCCAGACCAGCATCATCCGCCAGGTGGACAACGTCATCGACATGATGATCTGCAGCTCCGTGGTGTCGTCCCTCTCCTTCTTGGGGGCCATCGCCGTGGACCGGTACATCACCATCTTCTACGCCCTCCGCTACCACAGCATCATGACCATGCAGCGGGCAGTGGTTATCATTGTGGGCATCTGGGTTGCCAGCACCATCTCCAGCAGCCTCTTCATCGCCTACTACAAGAACAGCGCCGTCATCCTCTGCCTCATCGGCTTCTTCCTCTCCATGCTCATCCTCGTGGTGGGGCTCTACATCCACATGTTCTCCTTGGCTCACCACCATGCCAGGAACATCTCCAGCCTGCAGAAGAAACGCACCATCCACCAGATGACCAGCATGAAGGGGGCGGTCACCCTCACCATCCTGCTGGGGGTCTTCTTCATGTGCTGGAGCCCCTTCTTCCTGCACCTGACGCTGATCGTCACGTGCCCCAAGAACCCCTTCTGCACCTGCTTCTTCAACTACTTCAACCTCTTCCTCATCCTCATCATCTGTAACTCTGTGATAGACCCGCTCATTTATGCTTTCCGGAGCCAGGAGCTCAGGAAAACCCTGAAGGAAGTGGTGCTGTGTTCCTGGTAACTCAGGCACGGCCGCGGGGCTGAGGAGGCCTGTTGGAGCCGGGGTTCCTGCTCTCAGAGGTAACAGCATGGCCAACTTGCAGCCCGCAGCACAGTGCCCCCTAGTGTGCATGGGAGGCAGAGAAGCCGTTTGCAAGGGGCACGGGTCAGTTCCCATCAGCGGAAAACCGCTGTGGGGTTTCGTTGTGGGTGTTTTGTTTAGGGGGTTGGAGACAGTTTAGCTGCTGAACGGCACCCAGCGCCTTCCTGAGGGGATGCCACTGCTTGTGTCAGCCCATCCCCTCCAGCCTCCCTCCCACCCTGGGGCAGGTGCAGAACGGGGCAGGGCCTTGGGCACAGCAGCTGCTGTTTCTGGCCAGCTTCCTGGTGAGGTCCCAGGGCACGGAATCTACGGTTCTCCCACCACTGCAGCAGTGCGAGTGACTCCCAGCTGCTCCAGGGTTGCTGCTCTGTTCTGTCCCCACGTAACCCCTGTTCCTGTAACTCCCTCTGCTGCTTCCTGCCCGCGCAGAAGGGCTGGTAACTCTAGGCCAGGGTCTCCATCTCGCACAGCCCTCAAATCCCGTTGGCTGCGAACTAGGGAGGCAATGAGTCTGCCCTTCTGCACAGCTCGCTCCTGCTGGCTGCCGCCCACTCCCCCAGTCGCTGGGCAAGGAGTGTGGAGGAGCCAGCAGGAGGGTTGGCAGGGCGGGGAGCATTCCCATTGTCACTGCTCCGACACTATGGCATGCAGGGCTGGAAGGGACCTGGAGAGACCATCCCTGACAGGTGTGTGTCCAGCCTGGTCTTAAAAACCTCCAGCTTCCACAACCTCCCTAGGCAATTTGTTCCAGTGCTTAGCCACTCTGACAGGTAAGATGGTTTTCCTGATGTCCAACCTGAATCTCCCTTGCTGCAATTTAATCCCATTGCTTCTTGTTCTGTCCTCAGTGGTTCAGGAGAACAATTTATCACCCTCCTCTTTATAACGCCCTTTTATATACTTGAAGATTGTTAACTCCCCCCCTCCAGTCTCTCCTTCTCCAGACTAAACAAATCCAGGTTTCTTTTCAATCTTCCCTTGTAGGTCATCAGCCTTTCTAGCCTATAGTCGTTGTTGTTTTCCTCTGGACTTTCTCCAATTTGTCCACAACTTTCCAGCAATGTGGCACCCAGAGCTGGACACAATGCTCCAGCTGCAGGCTAATCAGCATGGAGTAGAGCGGAAGAATTACATCTGGTGTCTTGCTTACAACGCTCCTGCTAATACAGCCCAGAATGATGTTCACTTGTTTTGCAACAGGATCATATTGCTGACTCATATTTAGTTTGTGATCCACTATAACCCCCAGATATTTTTCTGTGGTCCTTCCTAGGTAGGCATTTCCCATCTGTATTTGCACAATTGATTGTTCCTTCCTAAGTGGAGTACTTTGCATTTGTACTTATTGAATTTCATCCTATTTACTTCAGACCATTTCTCTAGTTTGTCCAGATCAGTTTGAATTCTAATCCTGTCCTCCAAAGCACTTGCAACCCCTCTCTCCTTGGTATCATCTGCAAATTTTACCAGTATCCTCTCTATGCCATTAGCCAAATAATGTATGAAGATATTGAATAGAACCGGACCCGAGACAGATCGGTGCGGGTTCCAGTTTGATTGTGAACCATTGGTAACTACTCTAGAGTACGCTTGTCCAACCGGTTGTGCACCCCCTTATAATAGGCTGTATTTCTCTAGATTGTTCATGAGACGGTCATGGAGCCAGTAACAAAGGCCTCACTGAAGTCAAGATATCACATCTTACTTCTCCCCCACCCCTGAGGCTTGTTAAAAGAAGGATGTCAGGTTGGTTTGACATGATTTGTTCTTGACAAATCCACGCTGGCTCTTACTTATCCCCTTATTTCTCTTCCAGGTGTTTACAAACGGATTGTTTGATTATTTGCTCCATTATGTTTCCAGGCACCAAAGTTAAGCTCCCTGGTCTGTAACCCCCTGGGTTGTCTTTGTTCCCCTTTGTATAGCTAGGGGTTGTATTTGCCCTTTCCCATCCTCTGGGCTCTCTCTCATCCTCCAGGAGTTCCCAAGGCACGTGGGAGCCTGTCGGTCTGTCTGGCACTGCCTGACAATGGCGGGGGGCAGTGGACTGGAATGCGTTACCTAGGGAGGTGGTAGAATCTCCTTCCTTAGAGGTTTTTAAGGTCAGGCTTGACAAAGCCCTGGCTGGGATGATTTAACTAGGAATTGGTCCTGCTTCGAGCAGGGGGTGGGACTAGATGACCTTCAGGGGTCCCTTCCAACCCTGATATTCTATGATTCTATGACTATGGTGCCAGCTCTTAACATCGAGGCTTAGCCCCCAGGTTGCAGGAGAGACAATCCTCCTGCTTCGCCCGGGGCCTGCTGGGGGCAGAGGCAGGCTGCTGTGCCCAGCGCCAGGAGCTGTCACCCCCTTGCTCCCCTACCGCTCAGTGCTGAAGCGTGATGGGAATGGTCCCCTCCCCAGTCAGCCAGGTCTCCTGATGCCTGAGCAAACCTCGGGCTTCAGAGCTGGCCCCAGCACCGGGGAGGCAAGGGGCTGCCCCCCTTGGCACTGGCCTCGCCCTGGCCCTGGCACTGTCGTCCCCCCCCAGTGAGGGAGGCAGGGGCACAGGGTAACTGAGGCACATCGCGGGGCAGTGACTCGCCAGAGGCTACACCGTGGGTCAGCACCAGAGCTGAGACAAGATCCTGGGAGTCCTGGCTCCCATGCCAGGGCCCATTCAGGACCAACCATGGAGCTAGCCCCAGGCAGGACATGCCATGCTGTCCTGGCAGGTGCCCTTCTCCCCCATGTGGGAAGGACCAGGAAGCAAGTGAGGACACCTGTGCCCCCCAAGTGCCCTGCTGTGCCATCCCAACTGCCAGGGGTGGGAGGAATGGCCCAGCCTGCCACATGTCCTCAGCCCGTCTGCTCTGAGAGACAGGGGCGGCCCCACGGCACGGCATCCTCAGCCCGGCCCTCTGAGAGACAGGGGCTGCCCCACGGCGCGACTTCCTCAGCCCAGCCCTCTGAGAGACAGGGGCTGCCCCACGGCGCGACGTCCTCAGCCCAGCCTTCTGAGAGACAGGGGCTGCCCCACGGCGGGCGGCGTCCTGGGGGGAGCAATGGCAGGGCCTGGGGAGGGAGCCAGGTCATTTCCCTGAGGAACAGCACACTGGGCCTTCCCTGCAATTCGGGACAGGCCCAGGGGCTGGTAACAGGGACGGGAAAAGCCCAGGATGTCAGGCACCAAAGCACATACCATAGACACCCCCCACGCCAGCACCCTCACCCCGCTTGCCAAAGACACCCCCACGCCAGCACCTCTCCCCCCTCCTCGCCAGAGACACCCCCCACGCCAGTGCCCCTCCCACCAGAGACACCCCATGCCAGTGCCCCTCCCCCTCATGCCCACCAAAGACACCCCCATGGCAGTGCCCCTGCCAGCCATGCACACTAGAGACACGTCCCATGCCAGCCCCCCTCCTCTTCATGCTAACGCCCCTCCCCCCATGCCCACCACAGACCCCCGCATGCCAGAGCCCATCCCCTCAGGCCAGCGCCCCTCCCCCATGTCCTAGATTAAACACCCCCCATGGTGGTGCCCATTCACCCACAGCCCCCATGATGACACTCTCAGCCCCATACCCCTGGGGCACACGATGGACACACCACACTATACACACCCCAGAGGTAGTACCCCCCTCCCCAAGCACGGCCAGTACCGTATCCCTCTGCCTGTTCACGTACGCCCATGTGCCCCATGGCTGGGGTGTTACCCCACAGAAAGACACCGACTGGAAGCCGTGCTGGGACGCCCGGTGCCCTCTGCCGCCTGGAAATTGCAAAGGCCTTTGTGCTCTGTCACGGGGTCCCCGGGCACTGCTCTGGAACTGCTCCCTATGAGCCGGGCAGACTCTGGGGGTGTCTCCTCTCTGGGAGCAGCCTGTCTGCAGGGCACACAGCTCACACAGCTTCCACCTTCCTGGGTCTGACCTCGGAGCATTCAGCATCCTCTGCCCCTCCATGCGCTTGCGGTCCTGTGGATGCTGATTCATAGAAGTCCTCAGCATCATCCCCAGGGCCCCATAAACTCTCTCCACCAGCCCGTGGGACGGAGGGTGACCTGCAGAGGCCCAAGAGGGCCAGACCCCCCATTTCTCCCACCAGCCCCGGAGCAGGGCTGACAGGACATTGGACCCCTGGTCTGTAAGGACCTCACTGGGGCCCCCCACTCTGCTGAAGATGGTTAGCAGCAAGTCTGCCCTGGTGTCTGCCTCGATGGAGGACAGAGCCCCCACCCCAGGTAGTGGGTGGTGAAATCCATCACGCCCAGGACATATTTCTTCCCTGACCCGGTCGCCTTGCTGAGGGGCCCCACTATGTCCATAGCCCCCTTCTGAAAAGGCTCCTCTAGGAAAAGGCAGGGGTCTCAAGGGGGCTTCACCCTTATCCCGGCCTTCCCCACCCTCTGGCTGGCATCACAGGACCTGCCGTGCCGCTGGGCCGCATCCCAGACTCCGGGCCAGTCACAGATCTGCAGCAGCCGCTCCCTGGGGCGCTGGATCCCCTGGTGTCCCGAGAGAGGGACATCGTGGGCCAGGTACGACAGCCTGCAGGGGTACTTCTGGGGCACCCCCAGCTGCCTCCTGATCCCCCAATTGTTCTACTTCCCCTGGGGGAGCCCATTCCCGATACAGGAATCCCTTCTCTCGCTGGAATCTGTCCCTGCAGCCTTCCCCAAGGGGGGTTGCAGCCTGTGGCCAGCAAGTTCCCTCAGCTCCTCCAAGGAGGGAACCTTCTGCAGCTCGCTCTGGAATTCAGCTGCTGGGGAAGGGAGTGGCACCTGTTCCCTCTCGCTGACTGCACCTGGGGTCACAGCCCCGCTGAGCTCTGTCCCTGGTCGCTCCCTCCCTGCCGTGGGCTCACTTCCCAGCAGCACCTCTGGACAAGGTGAACCTGGTTGGCAGCCGACCTGGCCTGCCTGTGGGTCCCCCCATTTAGCTGGGGTCTTATCTCCCCCCTTGCTCAGCGTTGCCCTTGCTGTCCCAGTGGGGGCAGGCAGCGAGCTCTCTGCTCTCCTTACGTCATCAGAGCCAGCGTGAGCCTCCTCTCCGGTGTGCAGGGGCACAGGGAGCATCTCTCTGCCCCACCCAGCCCCAGGGGTCTGCTTACAGGCAGGCAGGCAGGTAGCCGAAGCCTAGCAGGTCCTCCCTCCTGCCAGCCAGGTCATCTGCATTTTCACTGACCATTTCCCTCGCCGCCGATTGGTTCCCTGGATTCAAAGTCAAACCCTTGGCCGTTACAGGAGCAGGGCCTGGATCCATTCCCAAAGAGATCCATTCACCACCCAACAGGGTCTCACAGCCGATATCCTGGAGAACCCCAACGACCAGCCAGCTCAACCCCTCCTGGGTCTGCACAGGGATCTGGGCCATAGGCAGGGCGAGGGGCTTCATCCCTGGGACCCTCACCCAGCTCACACAGCCCCTCAGCATCTGAAGCTGCACCACCCAGGGCCTGACAACAGTTCTCTCTGTCCCAGGATCTCGCCACCCCAGGAATGTCTTCCCATTGACCGTCACCTTCCGCTCCCACTGGGGGTCCGAGGGGCCTGACCCCAGGAGACTCCACACAGACATATAGGTTGGGGTCAGGAGTGGGAGCCTGTCCACCTCCCCACCCATCTGGCTGACGGAGTCTATGGCCTTGGGACCCAGCAAGGGAGCTAGACACCGGGGCTTTTCCGCAGGGTCCCCCTGGTTCAAATCGCCAGCCTGCTCAAAGGCAGTGAGGTGGCATCCACATCCCCCCACTCCTTAACCGGGGCAGCAATTTAATCTCGAGGTTCCCTGCGGAACTGGCCCCCCGGGGTCTATCCCCACTCACCCCTGGGAGGTCCCCTAGGCCTCTCCGCTCCCCCACCGCCAGTTCATGCTTCTGCAGCTCTTTCTCGGGCTCTCGCTGGCTCTCTCGGACTCAGCTCGAATCCCGTCCGTCTCCGATCCCTGGATGGGGAACCCGATCGTGAAGACCCTCGTCTGGTCAGGGACAGGAGTCTTCGGGATGCCTGGCTCCCACTCCAGCTGCTCCCAGATCCTGCTATAGCCCCATTTGGGGTCAGGAATCTGTTCCTTAGAGCGGTCATCCTCCTCCAGCTGCACGATTAACTGTGCCTTGGTGAACTTTCCAGTGCTCAACCCTCTCTTTCTGCACAGGGTTACAATGTCCTTCTTCAGGAGACGGTGACAGGCCATCACTCCGCTCTTCCCAAGTTGTTGTGGACTCACAGGCC